TGTTTGTTGGTATTGGGGGCTTTGTGCTTGTAGGCAGGTGCTTTACCACTTGAGCACTCCACCAGCCCTTTTTTTGGGTTGGTTATTTTCGAGTTAGGGTCTCTCAAACTATCGGTCCAGGCTGGCTTTGAACCACGATCCTCCTGATCTCTGCCTCCTTAGTAGCTAGTATTACAGGTGTGAGCCACCAGCGCCCAGCTGGTGTTTTGTAATCTGTTTGTACTGTTTTGTAATCTGTTTTTTAGGCCTAATATACCTTGGACATTTTTCTATACATTCAAGTGTTAGGACAATTAAATTAGCATCAGCATGTAGGATGGATTTGGGGAATTCAAAAATAGGGAGATAAGTTAGAAGACAGTTGTAGTATTTGAGACTAGAGGGTCATGAAGGCGTAAACTAGGGTGATGTCAAAGATCCTAAGAGAAAGGTAAATTCAATAAGTTTGGCAGTTGATGACATGAAGGTGTGTTCAGAGATGAAACCAGGTAGTGTAATTAGCAGAAATAGGGGAGACAAGGAGAGGAACAATGAAAATGGGGTAAAAGATGATCAGTTCAAAAGCTGAGTATGGTGGTACATATCTGTAATCTCAGCACTTGAGAGGCTGAGGCAGGAGAATTGTGAGTCTAAGGCCAGCTTGGGTGAGACCCTATCTCTTCCCTCCACCACCCAAAAACAATCATTCAGCCTTGAATAACCTGAGTGTAAGGTGTCTGCTACATTTAAGTTGAGATGATCTTTAATAATAGCTGCTACTATTACTGACATTTTGATATATGCTATATATTGTCTTAAGTCCCTGATGTAGGTATTTAATCAGTCCTCACAACAGTCTATGAGACAGATATTATCTCTCTTTTACTGAGATTTATTGTGAAGAAACAGGTTCAGAAGAGAAGTAAGTTGCTCATGATTTAGACTTTGAAGGCATTTCTGTATGTGACACACAAGTTCCTTCCTCCAGGACTTGGGAGTGTAGCTCAGTGGTAGAGCACTTGGCTAGCATGTGTGAGATCCTGGGTTTGATGCGCTCTCCCCCTCCCCCCAGTACTGCAAACAAAAAATAAAACAAAGCAAAAAACCCTCTTTCCTCTGATAAGTGTGCGTCTAAACTTTCTGAAAAGGCCAGTGTTTGCAGGTAGTTGTTGAAACTAACAATAGTTATACAACTAAAACAGTATAGTCATAAAGTGAAGAAATACTGTGAACAGAATTTTACATGCTGTTTCCATTGTAGGAGTGAGAGAGGAAGAACTTTCAGAAAAGAGAAAGAAGGGTCAAGAGGAAGGAGAAAATTGAATAGTCCTAGAAACCAAAAGGGAATAGAGGATCTGCATAAATCTGCACTTGACATGCTGTCTCAGTTCTCATTATTCCTCCATGGCAGTGCTTCTCAGCCTTGAGTGATTTTGGCCCTAAGAGACTTTTGGCAATGCCTGGAGACATTTTTTGAAGTCACAAGTAGGAGGTGCTACTGACTTTTAGTGGATGGAGTCCAGGGATGTTGCTAGACATCATACAATGCACAGGACAGTCCCTACAACAAAAAATTAGCTGGCCTAAAATGTCAGTAGTACCAGTGTTGAGAAGCTGTCCTGTTGTGTATTAGCTCCATTTTATAAATGAGGAAAAAAGAGAAGTAGATAAGTCAGTTATATAGCAAGTCAGTGGCAGTACTGGGACTGGACCTCCAGGTAAGATTAAAATTTGCGCTCTTTCCACCTATACCATGTTGTCACTAAAAGGAAGAGAGTTTCAAGAAGTAGATTGAAAACTGCTTTGAACCTAAATCCTGGTCTGTGCCTCCTGAGTAGCTAGAATTACCTGCATGAGTCACTGGTACCCGCTCCAACCCTGTTTTTGTTTGTTAGAATTAAATGAGACAAAGAATCTAACATAGTGCCTGGCACATGTAGGTGTCGCTCTATTGTGCAAACCACGAAAGGCTGATTATTATCAGACTATAGAAGAGATAGGTATTTAAAAATGGGTTGCATTTACATAGTTAGAATTTTCAAAGAAGATAATAAAGAAGACAAACTGCATGGTGAAAAATAACACAATATAAATAGAAAAGACTTTCTATCAAGAAATGTAAGGAATTGATATGGCTTTATATGTGAGCACATAGAAGAGGTTAATACACAGGAGTGGGAAATAGCCATGACAACTTCCTAAGAGAATTTGAATTGAAACTTGAAGAGAGAATTAGAGTTAGGGAGAGAAATAGGAATGAGAGAGGTTTAGGACAGTGTACCAGGTAGGTTGAAGATTTTACACAAGGGCCAGAAGGCAGATGATCAGAGAAACTCCCAGTGGCTTAGGGATAGTAAGAGTGCTAAGTTAAGATGTGGAGAGAGAACTGATTGGGAGAGGTAGACAGGAACAGGTCTACGTAAAACGTGTTCACTGTGTTGAGGAGTTTGGATTTATCTTTTGAGCATCAGGAACTATTGGGGTGTGTATGTGTGTGTGTGTGTGTGTGTGTGTGTATTTATTTTTATTTTGGTTTTTTTGGTGATGGTGGTGGTGGTACTGGTGTTTGATATCAGGGCCTCACACTTACTGAGCAGGCACTCTACCACTTGAGCCATGCCCCCAGGCCTAGATTTATACTTTAGGTCACTGGTGCCACAGTGTGGAGAGTGTATTGAAGGGGGCAAATCTGGAGACAGTATAGAATTCAGGAAGCTACAGTTGTACAGGTGTGGTAGACTGTAGAAGTGGATGGATTTGAGGTAGTTAATAGATAGATGTAACTTAGAGATGAATTGAACGTGATTAGTGGATCAAGATGATTCCAAGGTTTCTGGAGTTAGATTTCAACTCTAAGCCAGGCACTGGCGGCTCACACCTGTAATTCTGGCTATTCAGGAGGTAGAAATTGGGAAGATCGCAGTTTGAAGCCAACCCCAGGTAAATAGTTCGGAAGACCCTATCTTGAAAAAAAAAATTCACATAAAAGGGCTGGTGGAGGTGGAGTGGCTCAAGTGGTAAGAGCACCTGCCTAGCAAGTGCAAGGCCCTGAGCCTGAGTTCAGATCCTGGTGCTGAAAAAAAAAAAATCCCAACTCTAAAAATTATTAAATTAACAAAATTAATAAAAGTTACCATTAAGAGTCTGTGGAAGTACCATCATGACATTGCTGGTAGGACTATAAATTCCTTGGTCATCTTGGAGTGCTTTGTGTCAACATGCAATGCAATAGAGTGTTAACAGTCACTCATTAATGTCAACTTTTGTGAATATGACTCAAGCAAAATATCTAAAATTTTTTTAGTTTGCCTATCAGTGCTGTTTATTACAGAAGAATTGGAAATAAGCCAGGCACTTACTTGGGAGGCAGAGTTCAGGAGGATTATGGTTCCAGATCTACCCTGTCAAAAGTTAAGAAGACCTCCAGCTCAACAAATGAGCTGGGATCATGGTATACACCTGTCATCCCAACTATATAGGAAGCATAAATAGGAGGATTGTGATCCAGGCCTGCTCACCCAGGCATAAAGCAAGACCCTATCTCAAAAATAAGTACTCAGTTTCTGGGGTATCAGGAGCTTGTAGCAATAGCTTCTCTGGGCCTTTACATAAGTTACTTCTTGTGCTTTTGTCCTCCCCTTGTATTGCCCCCAACTTCTCATCCTTCAGGCTTCCGTTAAGATATTATCTCTAAGAAAGCCAGTATCAGTTTGGGTTTATAAACTACAAAACTTGACTTTTTTTTTTTTTTTTTTTTTTTTTTTTGGCGGTACTGGGGCTTGAACTGAGGGCTTACACCTTGAGCCACTCCACCAGCCCTTTTTTATGTTAGATATTTTTGAGATAGGGTCTCATGGAATTAATTGCCTGGGGCTGGCTTCAAACTGCAATCTTCTTGATCTCTGCTTCCTGAGTAGCTAGGATTACGGGTGTGAGCCACTGGTGCCCGGCTCAAAACTTGACTTTACCCCAGGTGTGGTGGCACATGTTTATAACCCCTGTACTCTAGAGGCCAAGAAAAGAAGATTGGGAGTTCGAAGCCAGCCTGGACTACATAATGAGATCACATTAAAAAAAAAAAAAAAACTAAAAAGTAGAAAACTGACTTTTTTCTTTTTTTAAAGGAGTATTCACCAAATTGAACATAATAAAAAGAAAGGCTAATTAGCTAGACCAGAGTTCAAGAACTAGGCCAGTTTCACAAATCCAGGAGTAGGAATGGAGGACCATCTCTTTACCCAAAGTTCAAATTTCTGCAGAGAGACTGTGGCATGGAATAGGTCACTGCCTCTGTGGTCTGGCAAGAGCCTGGTGATTAGTGGCACAAGAACTTCACCAAATTAAGGAAGAGCAGTTCCCAGGTGGATGGGATGCTAGGCATAACCAAGTAAGAGTTTGTCATCTTATTTTTTGGTGGTGGGGATTGAACCCATGGCTTCTGGAATGCTGTCTGCCTTCTATCACTGAGCTACACCCCCATCCCAAGCTACTTATTAAGTTCTTTAAGTGTTTCAACCCTAGTGCAAAAAAGGGGAGGGGGACGGGGGATGGAGAGCTGCTAGAGTACTTACAGGAGAGCTTAAACTTGTAGGTAAGGAGGCCAAAAAGGGCTTTCTTTTTTTTTTTTTTGGTGTGTGTGTGGGGCAGTGCTGAGGATTTAATCTAGAGCTTTGCACATGCCAGGCAAGCTCTCTACCACTGAGCTACATTTCCAGCCCCTCCTCCAGCCTTATATTATAAATATCTTTAACAAATTATAACCTACAAGAAGCCAGAGGCCAAATCTGTTCTGTTACATACCCTAATGCCTAGCACATACCTTACACATAGTAGGCATTGAGTAAGTGCCTACTGTGGAAGGGAATTCTAGACAGACTAAAAAACTGCAGATTTGTGCTCTGCTCTTTTCCAAGGTAGGTATCCACTACTGCATCTCTGTAAAACCTGCCACCCCTTTTGCTATCTTTATTCTGTCGTTCACTGTGTCATCCTTCAACTCTGTCTCTCTCACACCTTCTTAGGTAATTGCTGGCTTCAATCGCCTGCGGCAGGAACAGCGGGGCCTGGCATCCAAAGCAGCTGAGCTGGAGATGGAGTTGAATGAGCATAGGTGAGAAAGTTGGAGAAAAGCAAACAGTAGAACAGTTTGGATGGGCCATTTTGTGAGGGAGGCTTGCAGTAGAGTGAGAGTGAATGCTGAAGTCCTGCCTTGTCCTCCTACCCTAGCCTAGTGATTGATACACTGAAAGAGGTTGATGAAACCCGAAAGTGCTACCGCATGGTTGGAGGTGTGCTGGTAGAACGGACTGTCAAAGAGGTGCTGCCTGCCTTGGAGAATAATAAGGAGCAGGTGAGCAAGAATTCCTGAGTAGAGGTTTTGGGCAACGGGGTGGCCAGGGATTTATGGAATATGGTGGAGGAAAGTCTAGGTAGGAACTCATGCTAATAGGCTAGTTAGCCCATTACACTGTGCTGAGTCTCATTGCTTAGATAAGGAGTTGTTGGCCCCATGCCCTTTCCATGGGCTATTTGTGTGCTTGAGTTGGGGGGAGAGGAGGTTAGAGTAGTGTTTCTCACAATGTAGTCCATGGATGCCTGTATCAAAATCACCCGAAGAACTAGTTTAGCAGTGCTGGGATTGAACTCAGGGCCTTGTGCATGCTAGGCCAGGTGCTGTACATTGAGCTACTTCCCTAGCCCAAGAACTTGCTTAAAATTCAACTCCCTGGACCCTCTCCTAGTCCACTGAATTACTTATGGATATGCTATAAGTGACATTTTAAAATAAGTGCAGATGATTTCCATGTACATTATAAAGTTTATAAACCATTGTGCTTAGAAGGGAATCACGTTAGTGTCTGGGCTACACTCTTAATACTTGGTTGTCATCTCTCTTCACTTCCTTTAACCATAATCCACCTGAAATCCTTACATAATCCCTGTTCCTTGCCCTCTAGATACAGAAGATCATTGAGACACTTTCACAGCAACTTCAAGCAAAGGGAAAAGAACTCAATGAGTTCCGGGAAAAGCACAACATTCGTCTCATGGGGGAAGATGAGAAGCCAGCAGCCAAGGAAAACTCAGAAGGGGCTGGGGCTAAGGCCAGCTCAGCTGGAGTGCTGGTCTCCTAGGGACCAAGGCCTCTGCATTTTTTTTTTTTTTTTACCCTGACTCCCACTGATACTTTTCTCTTTATTGTTATTATTATTGTTATTTTCTCTGCTATTGTAATATTTTGTTTTTGTTAATTAAATGTTTTGATCAGAATGCTTAGCAGTAGCCTGAAACTTTCTCCCAATTAGGGGTGGAAACTGTTTAAGGGGAAGGACAGCATATAATTTGTGGTTTTTGTTTCCAATAGGTTAATGGCTCACAATATCAGAAAGGACCCATACTTTGTTCTTTCTCTTGCAAATAAAGCTATGTCTACTTATTTACAGCCTTTGCAAAAAAAGATTCAGAGACAAATGTTGACTTTCCAAGTGAAATTTAATTACCATTTAAAGTGAGACTGAGAGCTCTGGTCATAATACTTTATGGGTTTGCAACAAAACAGAAGCTTGGTGGTGCAATTCAGCACTATTTAGGTAAAGAGGTCCAGTATGCAAACCTGTGGGCTAGCAGTCCTGCTATCCTCACCAAAACCTCCAAACAGGTAAAGTTGATCATTCCAAAGGCAGGTTCGATGGCCCACACGTTTCAGTCCACGGTCTGCACAGGGAAGTGGAACCACAAAGGAGGAGACTTGCCTGTTGGGTAGGGACAGATCGTGGTTATTGAGGCAAGAGTGCTTTGTTACCCTTAGGACTCCACACAACCAAATACTTGCCCATTATTTTTCTCCTCAATTGATTTGTGGGCCTCTTCTAATACTTAAAGACTGTATTCCTTTAACTCTTGACAACTAATTCTTTCTCCTCCCTACCCTATCACTCCATCCTCTTCCTGTATTCTTTAGGTTCTCCTGTCTTTCCTTCCTTCCCCCCTTCAATCATTAGTCTGGCTCTCACGGGTATCATAGATGTAGAGGTCATTGCAGATGGTGTCTCTAGCTTTGGTCAGTGTTTCTCCACCAAACAGCACAGCAAAGGGCCCCACCACAGAACACGAGTGATGCCGAAGTCCCTGGGGCCCTTGCCGGGACCCCTCTCTACTGCTTACAAGCCTTGCAAGCTGTTCCATCAAATGAGGGGCCGCAGATTGTTCCTCCTTGGGGGAGAAAGGAAGGATTGCCTGAAGGGATTTGGGTAGTACAATTATAGTCCCCTTCCACCCTAGCAAGATATTAGTAGGTGATACCTTAATCTTTCCATGATTCCATTGCCCAGCTACTTCTGGTTCACCTGAGTTGCAACCCCCGAAGAGCAATAGCTGATGACCTGGGTGGGGCCCAGGAGTTTGGAGGAGGGCAGCACAGTGACCTGAGCGTGAGACTGTATGGCAGCCTTCTTCCTTGAAGCTGTGGATATGCAGAAATTTGAGGCCTGAGTGAGGTTTTCTGGAAATTGTGTTGCAGTGCCTTGTCTGCACAGTCCTTGTCAAAGATAGCCAGCATGGGGCAGTTCCCCATAAGGGTAATACTATAAAGCCCAGCTCTTAGACTTGTTAGATGGAGGGTAAGGATGTGGATAGGTTGTATGGAGATGCTTAGCATTTGTTTTTCCAGTGTAGATGAAAGGAGGTTGGAAGGTTTATGGCAGGGGGTGCCATACCAATAGGTGCGGGCTCTGGGGTCCAGCTTTAACGTGTAGATGCTTCCATAGCGTCGCTGAGTGCGGACACTACCCTCTCTGCCAGCCACCCGAAGTTCGCGGTCCGAGAGGCGAGTGCAGGTGTGACTACTGAGGCCAGCAGGGGGGCAGTTGCTAGGGGTCCCTGTCCACGCCTCCCACACTTCACGTTCCGTGTCTAGGGCGGCCACTGTGGCCAAGCGGCGCGACCCATCCCAGCCGCCCACCACGCAGAGCCAGCGCTGGCCCACGGCTGCCGCGTCGTGGTGGCTGCGTGGGGGGCAGCCCGGGGCTCCCAGTCGCACCACCTGGCCCCCAGTCGGGTCGAAGACCACAGCATCACTGCTAGGGTCTCTCTCTCCTCCTGCTATGAGACCCCCTACCAGATAGAACCGTCCCCCCAGTTCGGTGCAAGAATGGAAGGCGCGAGCCAGAAGCGGGTCCCGCGCCACTGGCCTCCAGGCCCAGCCCGAGGCCCCAGCCCGACCCTGGGACACTGCCATTCTCCATGAACCCGAAGGGGGAGGGCGCGGGGTGTGCGTCTTGCGGCGCGCCCCTACATCGGGGCCAGATACCTTGCTTTCGGTGGGCTTCCCTGGGAACCCCCCGCTCCTGGACACCAGCCCAAGTCCCCACCTCCAGCCGGCGGCTTCTCTTCGCGTCGCCCAGCAACCACTGCGGCAGCGCCGCTGCAAACTGAAGGTCGCAAAGCTCTGGTTACCGTGGAGACAGGAGTCCTAGGTAACTACCGGGAATCGTACAGTAATGTCGCCAAGACAACCTGAGATGTGCGCAGTCACTAAAGATCCTGAAAGATTGTTAACCTCAGTAGGGGAGCAGCCAGTTCCCCAGAAGAACCCCTGTTATCTCAGTTGTGAGCTGATTTATGACATTTAAGGAGCAGGTGTTGTTGCTCCAGGGGAACAGGGAGGGACCGTGTCCTTTTGGCTTCAGGGCTTTTTTTTGGGGGGGGTTGGGTACTGGGGTTTGAACTTAGGACTTCGCGCTTGCTAGTCAGGTGCTCTACCACTTGAGTCACTCTCCCACACTTGGCTTTAGTGTTTTTAACTTGGCCTGATTTCCCCTGAGAAGAGGTGGGAAGCGGAAACCAGTCAGAGCGTGAGGAAGGGAAAGTGGACTGAGCCAAGTCAGGAGGCTTGGTGTCTATTCCCAACTATTCCCCTAACTCTAGATCTCCTCAGCTTCCTCGTTTACAAAATGTGCTGTTGGTTCATCCCTTAGATGTCTTTTAGACATTCAGTAGTAAAGGCCCGATAGGTGGGAGAGGCTTTTTAGCTCTGGCCACTAGAGGGCAGTATAATCCAGTCTGTCAGGGTGTGATAACGCAGGAGACGCAGGGAGAGGGAAGAAGAGAGGAGAATTTGGGTGTTGGGTTGAATTGGGGTGAGGGAGGAAAAATACCTTAGGCATACTTGAGGCTTGGGCAACTTTCACTACTGAATCCCAGGAAGACTGATTATTTCATGCTGCCTCGTTAGGTTCATACAACACAAGGAAACTGAGACACTGTGGCATCTGGAACTCAGGATTAAGGGCAGGGAGTGTCTCCTGATAAGATGCAGGACAGAAGATGCCCAGCTTTAGAAGCTGGGTGGGGGTGAAGTGGGGTAGGAGACAAACAGACTCCTGCCCCTCCCTGAAATTTTCCTTTTATTCAGGCCAAGTCTCTTAACTTCTTAATTCTGTTCCTCCAGGACCAAGTGAAGAATGAAGAGGCCCGAGTCCGAGCTGACTAGTTTCAGCTGCAGGAGGAAGTATAGACAGATTTCTACTTCTAACTTAGTTGAGGAGGAGCAGAAGCAGACTCTGTGTCTCCCAGGGCTGGGTTGTAAGTGGGAAGGGTGGCTGCTACATTTGCTTCTGGTTGCTATACGTCAACTTTGCAGAGCACGGTGGCAAAGGCTTCAGTGGGGGTTGACAGCATATTAGGGCTTTTCCCTCCTGATCCCAACTCTTGGTCTTTAGAGAAAACAGTTGAGGAAGACAGAAGCAGGAAGGCACAAAGAGACTAAATGGTTACCAGCACCTGTTCTCCACCTGTATCTTAAAGCCAAGATTCAGCAATAGCTTTGAGAGTCTTTGCCCACCCAACTACAGCTTTCCCTACAGCTGATAGGCAAGATCCTCAGTTTTCCAAGCATGTGGTAAAAATACCTTAAACAAAACAAAACAAAATGATCCAACCAACTTCTAATGTCCTTGGCTGAAATCTGAAAGCCAGTATTCTCCCCAAGGGTTCTCATTGGTTCACCTTACAACAGCTAGACTACCATCTGACTCCTAGGATTAGGTAAGGAGTTCCTGGGCATGGGGTCATTTTGTTTAAAACTTATTGGTCTGTATACCCAGTTTAGGCTCTTGCTCTTGCCTGTCTTGAGCTGTTCTGCAAGAGTCTTACTTTCTGCCTCTCCTTAAGAGGCAGAACTCCCTCCCCACCAGGGGGGCTTTTCCAGCTTCTCTCCCCTAGCTTTGTGTTCCTTTTCCTCTCAGCTTCCATTCTGACTTTGAGTCCTTTGCAGTAGACATCTCACCTGGACATGGAGTCTGAACCTCACACACTCCTTAGCTGTGCCCCCTCCAATTCTGTACCTCCTCCTCTTCCACCTGGCAGCAACAGGTTTGCTGTGCCAACCCTAGACCCAGGAAGAGGGACTTCATAGGACTCCTACCTCCCCTGATTAATTTGAACCAAGCCCGTATTTTTGAAGAAACAGGAAAGAAAACATAAAAGGACAGAGAGAGAGAGAGAGCAATCTACACTTGTATGATATATACTTTATATATCCAGGTAGCATCTGAAGTAGTCTATGCTTCCCAGCCTGAGCTATCTGTCCCAGCCCCAAAATGTATGTCTCCTTCCCTTAAATCTTCACAAAGCTTTTGCTTTATCTTCTCCCTCCTTTAACCCATTTTCTGACCCTGGAATCATCCCTGGTTCTCAGTATTGTTCAGAACACACAGAAAGCCAACACTTAAGCCAACGGGTCTTAGACACTCTTCAAGACTCCTATAATTCCCTCTGCCTTTATCTCCCAGGCTGCCCCAACCTTCAGGCTCTCTCTCTCTGGCTCTCTCTCTTTCAACCTCCAACCCTTCTACATTTTTCCTTTAGCTCATTCTGGCCACTTAACTTCTTGGACCCATGCCATCCTGGTCCCAATTTTAGTTCTTTGCTCTTGGCTCAGCCAGAATAAGGACAAAAGGGTAGAGAAATGACTGGGAAAAAGTATTGCAATGGGAGAGCTACACGAAGTATAAAGAGTCTGAGAGAAAGGAGGAATTGTAAGTAGACTTGGGATGTAGGGGAGTAGGGATCAGGCAAGTTAGAGAATGATGGAGAGAGATAAAAGATGGGGAAGAAATTGTGTTGTTGAGGGACTTGGCAATGTTGGGTAGGATAGTATCATTGGGTCATTTTTGAGTGGTGAGAACTGAGGGCAAAAGAGAGAAGTACCTAAAGAGATCCTAGGAGTAGGCAAGTAAGTATCCAGAAGTTTCTCTTCTGGTCTTTCTCTGTTTCAGATTTTGTCTCAACCACTTTGTCTCTTTGAACTCCCCCTCTTCAATAACTCTGTATGTTCCTTTGTAATCCTAGCTACTCAGGAGGTGGAGGCAGGAGGATTTTGAGTTCGAGGCCACAGGCAAAGTTAGTGAGACCCTATCTCAAAGACAAAAAATACAGACAAAGCTGGGGGCATGACTTGAGCTCAAGATCTTGGGTTCCATCCTCAGTATTGCAACAACAGCAAAACAAAACTCCCCAAAACTGTTGTGTATCTGTGTGTCTCAACGTATCATTTTAATTTTTTTCTTTATCTTTTCTTCCCCTTCCCTCCCCTCTCCTTCCCTCTCTCTCTTCTCTCTTTGCAGTACTCATTGAACCCAGAGTCTCATGCATGCTAGGCAAGCACTCTACCACTTGAGCTACATCCCCAGTCCTTTTTTGTTTTTTTCCAATTTTATTTTGAGACGGTCTCTTTAAGTTTTCCAGGCTAGCCTAAAACCTGCGATCCTCCTGCCTTTGCCTCCCCAGTAGTTGGGACTATAGGTGTGCACCCTATGGCCTGCTATCTTTTAAAAATTTTATTTTCAATGTATTTTTTTGTTTCTAGGTTTCTGTCTGTCTCTCATGGTTTCCACTTTTGTGTTTCTCTCGCTGGGTGACTGCCCTTTCATCTCTGTTGAGCAGAGCCAGTAATCTGACTTTCCTGCAAGGAGTTCTAGAACTTTCCAGGAATGGCAAGTCTTCCCTTTGGCTGCATTCTAGAACTGTAGCACCAGTATGGGATCCCTGGGCACAGTCATTAGGCCTTTATTATTATTATTATTTTGGTGGGACTGGGGTTTGAACTCAGGGCTTCATGCTTGCAAAGCAGGCACTATACTGCTTGAGCCACACCTCCAGTCCATTTTGCTCTGGTTATTTTGGCGATGGGGATGTCTTGAACTGTATTTGCTTGGCTGGCCTCAAACTGTGATCTTCCTAATCTCAGCCTCCCAAGTGGCTAGGATTATAGACGGGAGCCACCAGCACTCAGCTAAGGCCTTGATTATTGTTGAGGACTTGAATGAGCTTCAATATGTGGGAACTTTTCAGAGAATAGGATTTCCCCATAGAAGACCTTAGTGGGTAGAGGCCTGGACCCAGGGAGGGAAGGAGATTGGCTAGGGAGTGTAGATGCCAGTCTTTGTTTCTCTACCTTTCACTTATGGCTCATGAGCCAATACTTCTGACTTGCTAATTATCACTGGCAATGGACTCTTGCCCTATTTCTTCGTTTTTCTCTTATGCCACTTCTGGAAATGAAGGAAAAACTGAGGTTTGTGAAGTCTTCAAGATGAAGCTGAAGGATAGGCCAGGCTGACCTCTGGGGGGTGCCACCATAAAGCCCAGTAGGTAGGCTCCCTGGAAGCCTTTCTGTGGTTGGATGTGAGGATGGAGGAGAGGCAGGAGAGCACAGCCTGAGGTCCTCACTAGAATTTATTCTATCACCAAAGTCTCGCCCCCTTACCTTTGCTCGTGCCCCCTTATTGTCACATCTTCTGCTGCTATGGTTATCACTTGGAAGACTCTGTTTCCATGAGAGTTCCTACTTGTGTCTGGTATAAGCCAGTATCTATTCCAAGAGCTTTTTAAAAGTGCCTGCTTAGGCCTGGAGGTGTGGCTCAAGTGGTAGAGCACCTGCTTTGCAAACATAAAGCCCTGAGTTCAAACCCCAGTCCCACAAAAAAAAATTTTAAAATGCCCTGCCCATCTAGAGACACGGAAAAATAATAAAAAAGATGTTTGTTTTGGCCTCTGATTTTGTAGTACTGTGCTTATAGAATCTTGGTGAGAGCAAGAAGGAAGGGTTGTGCACACACTGGGCCTATAGAGAATCAGGACCCAAATATGCCTTGTGTTCAGACCCCTCTTCTCCTTGGTGGATCACTCCTGCTTTAGAGCCCTCAAGGAACAAGCAAATCCAGCCCCTTGATCTGGAAGGGATGTTGTTAGGCAAGCAGAAAATGTAGTTGTCATTAAAGGATGGAGCTGGACATTGGGGAACCAGTGGTCCTGCAGGATTGGTAAATTAGAACAACACAGCACAAAGCAAGATTTAGATGGAATATCCTTGAAAACAAGATGACACCATCCCCAATACTGGGAACAGTGAAACTACCTGGAAGGGAGGAAAAGCTGCTGTATGGGGGTCTCGCCCCACACCTCTGTGGTGGAGTACATCCTAGAGAGGAGTAGTAGGTGTGAATTTGAAACCATCTGCAATAGCCTCTGTCCTGGAGATGTGATCAAGTCCCATATCTCTAATCTTCCACCATGTCAGTCAGCTCCCCAACACCTTTCTGTATGAACTGCAGGAACCAACGCAATGAGCAGATCAGGAAGAGCTTATCACACTGAGAGGCAAAGCTATACAGAAATGGTTCCACAAACATTTCATCCACACCCATGCTTCTACCTAATCGCATGCTGATTTATTATTCACCTTCCTCTGACCCAAAGCCCAAGGGTCTCCCTGCAGCCTCTGAATCTTCTCTGACCTGGGATCTCACTGTAACAAATAGGATATTACTCACTAAGGAGCTCTCTCATCTACTCCTACCCCCAACCCATTCTCCTGACACCCCACCCCAAGCCTTTCCCATCGTGACCCACTCCCTCCCTCCCCCGCTCACTCAATCTGACCCTCACTCTCACTCATCTCCCCCACACCACTCCACCCATTCTTGTCCCTCCCTGACTCACCTCAGGTCCCATCGACACAAACAAAAATTCCAGCACAACCCACTTGAACCGGTTTGGCTTAGATGTGCAGCCTGTCACGGGGACAGAGACAGGTTTAAGCGGATGCTGGACACATGAAGATAATGAGCACTTGCAGTTATGCACACTTAGACAGCTCCATGCATGTGCACAATAGGTACACAGACACACAGGAACACATGATAGTGGGATATAGCGTGTTACAGTTTTTATGAGTCTCTCTTCTGACTGAGGGTTCCTCAAGGGCAGGGACCATGTGTCACCTCCCTTGAGTGGCACTCACCAAGTGGCACTTACTAAATGTCTATTGAATGAATGCACACATAGAAGCATGCACACAGTGGTGCCACACAGTCTCATACACATGCTAAAGATGCCACCATGGCTTGAATTGTTCCCATTCTTAGGGCCCAGAATGTGGGTGGGTAGAGGGTGGGTAGTCAGGCATGAGGGGAATCCCAGATACCAGGCATTGGTCTTGGAAAGTCTTCTGCCAAATATATTTCTCCAAGTCCCTGACTGAAACATGCCTTACGTCTTCATCCCAAAAATGGGTAGGAAAGGTCTGAGACATGTTCCCCAGAAGCGTGGCCCTTGTGAAACATATATGATTGAGGGAAGGATGGGACAGAAGGACTTAGAAAGAGATATTTGTTAAATACATGGAGATCCCTACCCCAGTCAAAGGCCTGAGTAGCTGTGACTCTTTTGCCCCCTCTTAGGTTCAGTGGTGTCCTTGGTCCCACTTCAGGGCTGCCTCTGGTGTTTACTAGAATCTGAATGTACTCATGAGGACATGGGTATTGCCATTACCTTAGAATCATCACTGGAGAGTTCGGCCTCCCTTCAGTGCTCCATATAACTAGAGCTGGCTTGAATGATTGAGAGTCCCAACCAGGGGCTCACAGGCATCCTGACTGATAGCACTTTGAAAGGAGGAATATATTATGAATGGAAAGGGCAAAACAGACTGGATTCCCAGCTTGGGATCTAATTGCTTTCCCACCCCCTGCCTCAGTTTTTCCTGTGGTTTCCTGTACCTAGAGGGGTGAATCCGTGGGAAGGAAAGGAGCTCCTCTGAAAGCATGTGATAGGATCCAAGGTGTGATAATTTTAATTATAATACAGGATGCTCTCCCTCCCATTCCCCCCGGCCCTACCCCACCCCTGCCACACTGGATCTCAAAGCAGCATCGGGGTGGAGCTGCTCCCCTGGCATAGGTGGGGACCTAAGTCCTGAAGAGGGGAAGGGGTTTGCCAAGGTGGAGGTGGAGAGAAGCTAGAGAATTTTGGCATCCAGCCAGGCCCTTGAGTATGCCCCTGACCTACAGGAAGTAGTCCTTGAAGAAGAAATCATTACCATGGTTATTGCTGAAACTGGAATCTAAACCCAGAGATGGGGTTATAGTCTGGACGCAGGGTTTATGTATGGGTCACAACCCAGGTTCAGGATGGAAACTCAGTCGGATCTCTGCCTACTAACCCTACCTCACCACCTTCTCCATACTGATACACATTTATTTAGAAATGCATGCGTTCAGCAAAACTGCATTCAGATCCCATTAGATGCTACGAACTGTTCTAGCATGGATGACTGATACAAGATTATAAAACAAGCCCAACTCTCAAGGAATTCACAGATTCTGACTCTCATCCTGTCCCTCAATTTAACACACTTACCAAACCCTTGGCACAAAGCAGACCTCAATCAATGTTTCTTGAATTAAAGCTTACAATTTAGTTAAGGAGATAAGATGTGCACAAATTATGAGTACATAAGCTATAATAAAGGGACTAACAGAGGCTGAAGAAGAATAGAAGAGAGAGAAATTAATTTTGAGTGGGAGGAGTTGAGAAGGCTTCATAGGGGATGTGTGGCATTTGAGGTCAGTTTTGAGAGATGAATAAGATTTGACAGGTAAGAGGCTAAGGATGTGACTCAGTGGTAGAGAGCTTGCCTGCACAAAGTCCTGGTTCTATCCCCCTCACCTCAAAAAAAGAATTAGGGAGCTGAGTGCTGGTGGCTCACACCTGTACTCCTAGCTACTCAGGAGGCAGAAATTAGGAGGATCATAGTATGAAGCCAGCCTGGGAAACTAATTTGCTAAACCCTATCTCAAAAAAAACTCATCACAAAGAAGGACTGATGGAGTGGCTTAAAGTGTAGGCCATGAGTTCAAGTCCCAGTACTGCAGGAAAAAAAAAAAAAAGAATCAGGGAAATTGGTAGAGTAGTGGTAGAAAATATTCTACAAGAAATGACCCCTCCCCCTTTCTGCTTCTTGATTCTTCTTTTCTGCCTCTCTCCAGGCAAGAGGACCCTGCTGCAAGATTTTAACTGATATCTTTTTTTTCTTCTCCCATGTCATGTTTGTCTCTATATTTACCTGTTTTTTTGTTTTGTTTTTTTTAAGTCCTACTCTACCAGAGATCTTGCCCCTCCCCTTTGCTAAGTTTTCAGGGAGTTCAGAATATACCCTTTTCCTCTGGCTATCCCAGGTAGACCAGATTTTGTGTCACTTGGTGGTTAGTTTTATACATTCAAAATGGAAGCATATGGTCAGACAAGAAGTAGTATACTTAAGGGAGTACAGGACAAGTGTTGGAAATCAAAATTGTCCTTGCCAAGTCCAGATATGTGGTCTAACCTATGACCAGGAGGTAAAATGGGAAAAATGGCCATGGAGCGAGAGGGAAAAAGCCCTTCTTCTCAGGTTGTGCTGATGCTCTTTTGGGATTCCTGGCCAGGTAATAAGATATTCAAGTGAGAGGTTGTGAGAAGGAAGCCAGGAACCTGTAGGCTTTATTCCTTGGTCAGTCCTTTGGGATCCCCTATGTAGGGGGTGAAGCCAGAGGGAATCACTTAAGTTCTTTCTCAGGGGTCTTTGAACTAGTTTCCCATCTTGGGGCTAGAGATATCTGAGCAGGCCATGACACTATGTTGTTTTCTCTGAGAAGTCCCTTCCCCATTTTGGGCCTGTTTCCTTGTCTGAAAAACGAAGTATATGGGCTAGCAGGCCAGTACTTCCTCAGTCGTGGCCTTCTCTGATTTAGTGACTCCAAAGCTGAGCCCCTGCAGAAGTTCAGGGAACTTGTCAAGACTCCCAGGAGGCAGTAAGTCTGGCTGGGGTGTGAGTTGCTTCGGTTCCTTTCCACCCACAAAGGCCTTGCCCCCGTTCATCCTGGCCAGGCCTGGTGCCTCCCTCTTACCCTGCCCCCCACCCACCCTTGCTTCTTCCTTCACAGCACCTTCCACACACTCGCAGGTAAAGCCCTGAGCTGAGGATGGGATCCCAGTACCCCCACCCAGGTCCTTTCCTCCTTCCCTCCCTCCCTGGCGCCCATTAGCTAGCCCAGGCCGTGGAGGCGGTGGCTGCGGAGACTCCTCTCTGTGCCAGGCCCGGCCCCCGGAGACGCACCTGTTCTGACCTGCTGAGCAGGTTCCCAGGTTTCTGCCTTCGTTGTTGGCCACGGCGTGGGAAGCAGCTCTGGGGGAGCTCAGCGCTCCCGATCACGGCTTCTAGGGGGTAGCCACGGCTGGGTGGGTAGAACCAGGCCAGGTCCCCTAGTGGAGACCCAAGCAGGATAGGCAGGTGCGTCAGTGTCCTGGGACTCCACAGTTTCCTGCCTTCTCGGTCAGCACTTTATCCGGCTGTAGAGGCGGCTCCCAGGGAGAACCGGTGGAACTTCAGAATCTCTGGGCAGGTCTACTTTTCAACCAATGCCCCTGTCCCTGGGAGCCGAGATGTGGGGGCTTGAAGCCTGGCTGTTGCTGATGTTCCTGGCATCATTTACAGGTAGGATTTGCCTGAATCATCAGGACCCTCGCTTCTGAGCCCACCTGGCACAGGCACACACACACAAACACGCATGCACGTACATATGCATGCATTCTCTTTTCTTGGACACAGAGTGGAGGAGCCAATCTCTTCCTCCCATCCCCACCTATCAGCAGTGCTCCCAGAAGAACCAGTGTAGCTCTTTTCAGTCAGCTCTTCACTCAGCACCTCCAGGCCAGATCACTATGTTTGGGGTCCTCTGCCAAAAGCCTTGTTTATGTCTGAACTCTCTCTGGGGGAATAGAATGGTGACCCAATGCAAGGTGGGCAGAAAGATGGAACTGGAGGGCCCTGCTATCCCTAGGGCTTCCTAGAACCTCCTTGGCCTACTCCCTGGCCTCCAGAACTGCTCCAAAGAGTCAGGCTGACTCAGGGCTGAGTTGGCCTCAGCAGTCATCAGGTGCGGGAAGCCTGATGTCCAGGGAGTGGACGGGCATTTCTTTCTTCTTCTCTCCTTTCCAAGATATTCTACAGCAGCAGGACTGAATTGCCTGTTGGGGATTACAGGAAAGCTGAGAACTCCTGTCACTCTGGTCCCTCTCTTTCTCTAGGCACACACACTATTAAGTGTCAGGGTAGCAATATAGATTATTTAAATGACTGGGACCTAGGGTAGGGGGCCTTCTAGATAGGGCATAGTCCTCTTTTTTCATCTCCTGCGTCCGCATTTTCACAGTCAGATGCCTTGTGCTACCTCTTAACTTCCTACCTATCTAATGTATGTGAAGCAGATATAAATTATCTGAAATTTATAATCTTCAGAGTGGGGTAGAGTATGTGTGTGGGTCTGTGGGATGCCATAGGCTGTTCCTAGGCAGTTAGCAACTGCCCAGAAAATCTTTCTCCTTGGAAAGATGGGGTCCTGTCTGGATAGGACAGTTGGATTCTCAGTTCAAGAAGCAGTAGCAAGGCAAAGGAGCCTCAGCACCTGGCAGCACCAGCTGAAGCTCTCAGGAAAAGAACAAGGCCTGGACTGGCAGGATTGGGGGCTGTTCTCATTCTGGTCTTAGAATAGAAGGGTCATTGGTCCAGCCTCTAGTCCCAGGATACTGAGCTCCTCATCCCTTTCACTCCCCTGACTCTTAATTCCTGTCTTCCAGACAGCCCCTCTCACTTGCTTAGTCTAAGAGGGTGGGGCTTGGCTTCTGGGCCAGGGAACCCAGCAGGCACTTTCCTGTAGGATCTACCCACACTTAAAGAATGGAGTCATGCTGTCTCAGAACTTGGAGGGGATCAAAGAGAGCACCACTCCAACTCCCTCATTTTACAGATGGGAAAACTGAAAGAAATAGATAGGTAGCTGAGATCTGCAAGATTACTCAGTGTTAGAAGCATTACCAGGGTTAGTGTCTTGTTCTCTTGACTCTTCATTCATTAAAGAATAGTGTAGTTGAGTGCACAACTGGGTACAGACAGAGTGAGAGATGCTGGCAGTGCAATGGTTAATAAGACATGCTCCCTACCTTCTCTATCCATAATGAAAATTGTTCCAAGAGAAGCCTCGATAAGGGGAAAGGAGAGTCTCCTCTTGTTAGGGAATTACTCTCAACTTCATCCAGTCCCTGCGGAAGGGAGAAAACCTGGCTCTAAGATTGTCCAGGAAGCTGGTATCTAGTAAGACACCACTCTGCTGCTGCTGCCACAGCTATAACCTTCACAGAGTTGAATGCTGCTCCCAGGCATCCTTGGGGACTCAGGCCCCAGGTTCCTAGCCTGAGGATCAGATGATCCCACCCTCATTCTGGCTCCTCTATGTGTAGACATCTCTTTACTAGCCCATAGGAGTCTGGAATGTTTCATGTCTGACCAGTCCTTGGACTGGGATGTCAGGAACCTTCTGTTCTGATCCCATTTCTGCTATTAATTTGCTAGGTGGCTTTGAGCAACTAAGAAACTCAGCATTCAGCTAGGGCTGGATGATGTCTTTCTATCTTCTAGTTCTGAAATACTGCCTCTATGATTGTCCAGTCCATGGCTGAAGGAGGGTGCTGGCTATTGGAAGAGCTGAGAGGACCCTTTCCCAGGACACTGCCTTCCAAGCCCACTACAAATTCACCCCCATCCCCCTAAACTTCTGGGCCATTAGAGCTCTGAGCCCCAGGGCCCTGCCCCACCCCTGACAGGGAGAGGAGCCCAGGCTTGGGAGGTGCCTCCAACACCATAGTTCTTTGTCTCTCCTTAATGGGATGAGTTTCCGGGTGAGGTCCCATCTCTCCTCCCTCCCCCATCTACTAACCTGGGGCTGAGGGGCCAAATCTGCAAAATATCTCTCCTAGTTCTTTGTCTGGGACCAGAGGGCCCTATAGGACCAGAGGTTGAATAGGTCTCTAAATTCTGAGGTCTTGTCTTCTTTGAGTTAGGATCAGTGTTCTCTCTGAGGCTAGTTTCCTAGAAAGGGAGGGGCCCCATCCCTGATTTTCTACTCCTGTTTACAGAGGGGAGCAGGCCCTTTCCTGTAGGACCTACCCAAACCCAGAGAAGCCAGAAGAGAAGGTTTGAGTACCTGCCCCAAGTGTTGAGAACAAGAACTCCAGGGCAACCCTTGGCCTCAGTGACCTTGTTTCCATCCTAGTGTTTTAGGGGGCTAGAAACTAAGGAGACTTCAGCCACGTGATAGTGGTGAAATGCTTAGCATGTATAGTCCCATCTTCTGGACCATGGCCCCAGAGTCCTGGGGTCCTCCACACAAAGTAAGATAATGAAGGTCAGCCAAGGTGAAGAGCAAGCTCAGTAAGGTGAGAAAGCCTGGGTTTTCTGACCTTAAAACTTGCCCTGGCACTGACCACAAAGTCTAGGAAGAAAGAAGGGATGGAGATGAAGTGGAAAACCAAGTCTGGAAGAAAGGGAGTAGAGGAGCCTTAGGGTCTATACCGGGAGCAGACCCTAAAACAAAGAGAAGTTCAGAAGTTCAGAATGAGCACTCATTCCACCTGCTTCCCAAGGGAAGGCTAGGGGAACCACTCTTCTCAACAACAGGGGGCCTCCAGCCTTGGGGGCTTTTCCCATAGTTTTCTGCCTGCCCTCCAGTCCTCTCTAAAACTGCTGTGTCCTGAGAGCTGGGGTTGAGGCTGTGATTTGAGGTGGGGCAATGCTGACCGGGGGAGGGGGAGGGATTGGGGGGGTTGCGGCTAGGATCTCAGGAGTTTGAGAGAAGCTGAATTCTGGGTCTCCCACCCACAGTGTGGCTGTTGTGGTGACTCAGCGGGGCTCAGACTGGCTCCGGGGGGGTTTAGGGGACTTATCTGTGCTGGGAGCTGTGTCTGGGCCAGCGCTGGATGCCTCAAGGCCTGTCCTCCTGCATTGTTCTCCTCTTGCTCTATGATTGGTGTGGCCCCCCTCCTCAGACACTAATCTGCAGGTGGGCGCTTTGCCCGGGTTGAGAAGCTCTCACTAAGCTGGGGGGCTTAGGACAATGGGGGGGGGTAAATGAGGGAGGTGGATAAAGGCAGAGAGAAAGTCTTCTGGTTTTCAAAGTTCCTTAGTACTCCAAGGCCAAGGTTATAGGGGGGAAGGGGAGACCAAAAAGGGTTTTCTGGTTGTTTATGTCCTACACAGGGGGCTTAGGTGCTTCCCTCCCAGGCCTTTTCCTACCTAAAACTCCCTCTCCAGTGGAGCTGGTGCTGTGGGTTAAGGGGAGGCAGGAGTTAACAAAGACCCTAGACAGCTTGGACCCCTCCCCCTAGCCCCAGGCAGATGCCCCCCCACCAACCCACACCAGACAGCCCTTACCCCAGGCCTGGAGCCAGAGCTGGTTTTTCTGGTGGTGGCAAGCAGTAGAGTCCTGACAGATTCCCAGGGAGAGGCCTCCTTGGGGGGCCAGAGGTGCTGGGGGGCCTGGGGGTGTGACTGTGTGTGGGGGGTGTGTGAGAAGGGTGGGAGTCCCTTTGTAGGAACCTGAGGAGCAAGGGAGAGGGATCTTTTGTTTTGTTCTGTTAGGGAGGCTTGGTAGCAATTTCCCATCACCTGGAGGGACAGTGACCTCATCTCTGGGTACCTCCACCTTAAGTCTGAGATGAATATGCCTTTAAGTCTTGGGGTGAAGTGGGGAGGGATGCCTGGGGTAATACTCCAAACAGGACCCACACAGGCAAAGGCTCAGAGCCACACATTACTGACCAAGGGCAGCTGATACAGACATGCGGAAGCCAAGATAAAATGACATCAAAATATTTACTATGTGTGCAGAGTTCCACAGAACAAGAATGCACACATGCAGACAAAGAGTGTGAGACATACATGTAAATGGTGCATGCACATATGTTCACACACACACACCAATACATAGCTCTTCCCTCTGGGCATAGAAAAGTATGTACTTACACTCTCCTGAAGATAAGACATGAACACTGAACATGTATATGTGTACAACACCCTCAAGTTCATGCAAGGAGATAACCTCAAATGCACGTGAACTAGAAAGACTGGCTGGGTCCCCATACAATTGGTCCTCATGCAAGCATGCTCATACATGCAGACACAAAAGAATCAAACTTATTCCCTTCCCTCTCACAGACCCACCTCTAGGACCCTTATGTGTGCCAACAGAGGATGCTGATGGATTAAGGCCCTTCACAAAGAAAAGATCTCTTCTCCTAAGATGCTGCCATGGTTTGGTGTCTGCAGGTGTCAGCCTCAGTTTCTCCTCCTGAGATCAGAGGCCAGGCTTTATACAGAAAAGAAAGTTGGGACCCAGGCACAGGGTGGGGTGTAGCCAGCCAGCCCAAACCAGGAATGGAGGGCCTGTCTGGGAGCGGGCGGGGTACACAAAGGGCAGGGCCCCCGAAGAGGCCTGAGGGGGCCTGGCCAGGGGTGGGGAGGCTGAGGGCAGGGATCCCGTTTGGCCAGTTGGGCCTGTTCTCTCCCTTGCGCAAGGTGGTGGCGGCTGTGGCTAGGCCTACTTCTGTGTGGCAGCTTCTGAGTCACCAAGGCTCCTGACCAGCGTCCTGGTGCTCCTAGGAGGAGGGGTGGAGTGAGCCAGGGGGAGGAGTGCCCAACTAGTTAGAGTCCACCAGCCTCAGCAAACAATTTGCAGCAGAAGGGTCCGTGGGTTTGGCCTGGCCTGGCTGCCACATGCCCACAGGGTGACCTCACCAGGCAGGCGGTGTGTCTCCTTAGGTCTGGTGACATCATCATGCTGACGCCAGGCAGGTACTGGGTGGGGGAGAGGAGGAGGCAGTCCTGGCCTGTCCTGGCCTGGGAGCTTGAGCTCCTGGGTCTATTTAGCCCAAGACAAGGACACTAGAGCCCAAGTTCTCTTTTCTCATCTCTTGCAGTTTAGGGGCTGGACGCAGGCAATTGTAGGAGGGTGCCTCAGCCAGGGATGCTCCTACTAAAATAGTGGATTTAGGATGATGGGGGGCCATAGGAGAGGTCCAGAATGGACTTTCCTGTTTTACTGGGTTCCTCGTCCTGCAAGGCTTGGGCTTATCCCTTAGGGTGGGGATCTTGAACTCACAGGTAGGGACATAAAAGCATATGCTGGGTACCCAATCCCTGCGGTATTCTAAGAAGGCATTTTTGGGGAGAGGAATATGGTTGATTTGTGGTGGTGAAGAGGCAGATGATTGGCAAGTGTGGAGATGCTTATGGGACATATGCCACATATTTCCCAAATGTCACTTGACATTGTCCCAGAAATAGTCTTTAGGAGCCAGGTGCTGGTGGCTCACGCCTGTAATCCTAGCTACTCAGGAGGCAGAGACAAGGAGGATCATGGTTCAAAGCCAGCCCAGGCAAATAGTTCTCGAGACCCTATCTCAAAAAACCCTTCACAAAAAATAGGGCTGGTGGAGTAACTCAAGGTGCAGGCCCTGAATTTGAACCCTAGTACCGCAATGGAAGAAAGTAAGAGAGAGAAAGAGAGAAAGAAAGAAATAGTCTTTAGAAGGATTTGAGTGTCCCAGTGAGGCAGGGCTTGGGATCCCTGTGACCTGCACTGACACCAGTTTGAAGCAGAGGGTGTGCTGGGTAGCCCCTATCCCAAGCCCACTCCAGCCCTTCTTTGGCAGTTCTGCTCCCTTCAGTGCCAGGAGGAGGTGCTTGGGAGGGGTGCAGGTAGTTCACTGGACTCCCAGGCTGGGTTGGGTGGGACCAACATCAGCTTAGGCAGGTCAGGGCCCTGGTATCTGGTCCTGCAGGTCTGTCTTGTCCAGTCTGGGTCCTCCCAGCTCCCAGCAGCATCCTCCCTCCCTCTGCTCCTACCTGCAGAGCCACATGACCCCTTCCTTTGCCTCAGTGGAACGCTTTGCTCCACTCCATGCTTCACTTCCTCCCTCCATTTTTTTTTTCTTCCTCTGTCTAGTTCAGAGGTGCTTCCTGTGGCAATAAACCCAAATAACCAGCCTATCCTGCCTCCATCCCAGGGTTGCCCTGCCAATGCCCACCCTGTCCAGCCAAACTAAGAACTGCTCATTCCTCCCCATTCTACCCTTTCCTTCTTCTGACCATCTCCCTTCACTCATTCAGTCATTCAGTCAATAAATATTCATTAAGCTCCAATTATGTGGCAGAAATGTCAGCCAAATACCACCAAGCATGAAATCAGAAGCCATGTTTTCATATGTGATGTATGACCCAGTTTCTGCTCTTATGGGGCTCAGTCTTGTGGAGGAGGCAGACAAGAAAATAGCAAATACAATCTATAGGTTAAAGTGCTATGAGAGGGGTATAAGCAGGGAGCTAGCGGAAAACAGAGAAAAGAAAACCAAGGCTGCCTAAGGTGGGGGCAGGGAGGGAGAGAGGACTCCAGAAGGAAGTCACTATGCCTAAGCAGAGTCTTAAAGCATGAGTAGGAGTTCTCCAGACAATGATGAGTAGGAGCTACCAGACATAGGGAGGAGGGCATTTCAGGCAGGGGTACAGTGTGAGCAAAGGGTGTGTAGGGTGCTGGGCAGAAGCAGGGACTACAACCTGTTGGGAGTTGCTGGAGTATACATTTCAGGTCAAGGAGCTCTTGCCATCCCCAGAGAATCCTTCCTACTCTGATCCAGCCCCTGGTCTTATATTTCACAGCTCAACATTTATTTCTTCCTAACCCTGAGTTTTTCCAGGCCCTGCCTCCCTCATAAGTTACCCATTCTAGAAATCCAGTGGTCTTTGAATCTTCCCTCTCCCTCATCTCTCTCTCGTCAGTGACCACATCTCCATGAAATTTCCCCCAGGAACTGTCCCATCCTCTCTGCCCCAGCACCACCATGCCAGGGCTGCAGCATGGTACCCTGCTGGTGAACATCTGGTCTTCAGTCTGCCAACTTTCTGGTCAAACTGCACACTGTCACTTGCTTCACTCTGTTCACTGCAAAGAAACCTTCGTGGCTTTCCAATTCCACTTGACCAGATCTGAATTTCTTTGCCTGGCATGGAAGGTCCTGGGCAATTTGGCCCCACCCTACTCCAGCCATATTTTCCACTTCTGTTCAACATACACACACCCTGCTTTAGGTTGGGTCCTCTGCTCTCTGCTTCCTGAACCAGCTTGCCTCTCTACCTCCTTGATTTTTGCTTACTTTGATCTTTTATCTGGAATGCATTTCTAGGTTTCTTCCCTTCCTAATCCTACCCAACTCATGCATGAGGCCCTCCCACATGACATGAGGCCCCCCAATTGCTGCCCCATTGCACAAATGGCCTGCAACACACCCAAGCACTAAATGAGAAACCATCAATGCAAGCCAGGCATAGTGGTGTATGCCTGTCATTCCAGCAGGTGGGAAGCTGAGGCAGGAGGAGCAAAAGTCTGAGGCCAACTTGAGCTACATAATGAGACCCTGTGCCAAGAAAAAAAAAAAAAAAAGCCAGATTTGGTGGCTTCACACCTGTAATCCTAGCTACTCAGGAGGTGGAGACTGGGAAGATTGCAGTTCGAGGCTAACCTAGGCAAAAAGCTTGTGAGACCCAACTCAAGCAATAAAACCTGGGTGTGGCATTGCACACCTGTCATCCTAGCTCCTTAGGAAGCATAAATAGGAGGATTGTGGTCCAGGATAGTCTTGGGCATAATTGTGAGACCCTATCTCAAAAATAACCAAAGCAAAAAGGGCTGGGTACATGGCTCAAGTGGTAGAGCACCTGCCTCACAAGTGCAAGGCCCTGAGTTCAAACCCCAGTACCGGGAAAAGAAAGAAATGGAAAAAAAAAAAAGAAGGAAGGGAAGTGGGAGGGAGGGAGGAAGGAAGGGAAACCATCAATATATATATTGATATTTAGGTCCTCCTAAACAGACCTCATGTTCCATAAGGGCAGGGAACAGAATCTTATTTGCAGATAAATTTATATATGGATATCCCTGAGTGGCCGGGTGATGGTGGTTCATGCCTAAAATCCTAACTACTCAGGAGGCAGAGATCAGGAGGATTAAAGTTCAAAGTTAGTCCTGGCAAATAGTTCGAGAGACCCTATCTTGAAAATATCCAACACAAAAAAGGGCTGGTAGAGTGGCTCAAGTGGTAGAGCACCTGCCTAGCAAGTGTAAGACCCTGAGTTCAAACCTCAGTAACACGTAAATAAATAAATAAAGTCCCTGAGTGTTTCATATCAACATGAAGAGCACTGGTCCTTCATCCCTGGTCCTGTGATTCTGGCTCAACATTCTGACCTGTTGCTGTGTGTCTGTCCTGACCTCATTTGTCTGGGACTCTGACTTGGGCCCTTTCTGTCTTCAGTCTCATTCCTGCTTCTTGGTTCACACCATTCCTCCCACATGGAATACCTCCTTCTCTCTGGGAATCCAGGTCTCTCACCTTCAAGTCATGAAAAGAATGTTCTGAAGGGCCTACTGGGATGGACCCTTCCCACCCTATGTGCCCCATCCCAGGCACCAGCAGATCTGAACACTTGCTGTTGCTCCTGGCCACACTTCCTGAAAGCATTCACTTTTATCCCATTGGTAGGTTGAGTCTCCTGAGAAAGTTTGTCCATGGCTTTCCTTGTTTCTGGGTGCATAAATTTCATTTCCCTGAGGACTATGAGAGTCCTGAGGGCAGGGGCTGGGTCTCTGATTGTTATAGCCTCCCACCTTGCAATTGCTCAGGATACAATCCTAGCCTGCAACAGGGTGTGAGTCTTTTATAAATCATCTGTGTGGCCTTAGGCAAGCCACTTCCTCTTACTGGGTCTCAGTTTCCTCATCTGTTAAATGGCGATAACGCCTACCTCTTGGGAATGTTTTGTGGCTCTAATGAGGTAATGAACTGAATGCGCTTTGCAAGCATAAAAAGCTCCTGGAGTTCCGGCTGCCTTTGCTGCCATTATCATTTTAAAAGTGTTCCCCCCCTAAACTGGCAGGGCCTCTAAACCTAGTTGCTCTTGTCTGCCCCCTGCAGGCCGGTGCCCCGCAGGTGAGCTGGAGACCTCGGACTTGGTGACGGTCGTGCTGGGTCAGGATGCAAAGCTGCCCTGCTTCTACCGAGGGGACCCTGATGAGCAGGTGGGGCAGGTGGCATGGGCTCGGGTGGACGCGAACGAGGGCACCCAGGAGCTGGCACTACTGCACTCTAAATATGGACTTCACGTGAGCTCGGCCTACGAGGGCCGCGTGGAGCAACCGCCGCCCCCAAGGGACCCCCTTGATGGCTCTGTGCTCCTGCGCAACGCCGTGCAAGCCGACGAGGGCGAGTACGAGTGCCGTGTTAGCACGTTTCCTGCAGGCAGCTTCCAGGCCCGGATGCGGCTCCGAGTGCTGGGTAGGTAGGGCTGGCTAAGCATGCTGGGGGCGTGGCGCGGGGTCGGGGGTGGGAGGCCGCAGTGTGTACAAAACCACCGGGACCCTGGGCTCACGTACGTGGAGGGGAGGAAGAAGTGGGAGGCAGGAGGAGCAGAGATGGATCTGCAGAGATAGACGGGACAGAGGCAGAACAGATATAAAAGATGGGGTCCCTTGGGGTGAGGGAGGACCATCAAGCCCATCCTTCCACCCAACCCAGAAATTCTCCAGGTAACCCCCAAAGCTAGAGAAGAACCCATTTACCAGGAAGTCCTTCCTTCTGAAGGCCTGAAATCTCCCTCTGTGTTACTTTTGCTCTCTGGAACCACACAGCATGGGCCTGCTTAGTCTCTCTTCTGCCCAACGGTCCTTGCTGAGAACCTTTTTTTTTTAGTGGTCCTGGGATTTCAACTCAGGGCCTCTGGCGCTCCATTGCTTGAGCCATTCCCCCAGTCCCTTTTGCTTTAGCTCTTTTTTGAATAGTGTCTCACATCTTCCCCAGGCCTGCCTGAACCTTGATCCTCCTAATTGTGCTTCCTGCTTACCTGGGATGACAGGCACTCACCACCACATAGCCTTGTTTGTTGAGATGAAGGTCTCACTAACTTTTTGCCTATGTTGACCTTGAGTTGTGAGCTTCCTGATCTCCACCTCCGGAATAGCTGGAATTACAGGAGTGAGCCACCACCTGGCCTGAGCTGAGGACCTTTGTCATGCTCAAGTGATATAATGCCTGCCTAGGAAGCTTGAGGTCCTGAGTTCAAACTTCAGAACTGCCCCCGCCCCCCCCCAAAAAAAGATAAAAATAAAATATAGGGCCTAGATGTGGGTACAAGGTCTTGCCATGGTATGGCCACGCATGACCAGTGGGGCTAATACCTTCCTTGATCTAATGAACCTTCAGTGAATGTAGTCTGAGATCACAATCATCTTTTAAACCACTACTTTTCACTGTTGGCACTTGTGGTTAACCTGGACCACTGGTCAAATTGTCTTTTCCATTTTGTGCTTAAGCTATTAATATTTTGAAGGTAGAATTAAAGGCATTTGTAGTTTCCCTTTGTCCACACAGAAGTTAGTAACATCAGCACTGGAGTAGAAAAACCTGAGTGTAAAACAGCCAGGTGTAGTGGCACACCCCTGTAATCATAGCCGTTGGGAGTCTGAGGCAGGAGGATGGGGAGTTTGAGGCCAGCCTGGACTACATAGTGAGACCTTGTCTTAATCAAAACACACACATAAAACAAACAAACAAAATAAAACACCTGAGTGTGAATCTGTGAATCTAGGCTTTGTCACCTAAGAGCTGATGACCTGAAACAAATCATTTAACCTCCCTAAGCTTTAGTTTCCTCAGCTGAAAAATAGAGATAATAATACCTGCCTCGCTGGTTTGTTGACAAATTAAATGAGATAACATTTGTTAAGTATTTAACATTATAGTTGGCACATAGTAAGTGCTTACTAAATTGTGGCTGTTATTATTGTTATATAGATATTATCTAGTTTTAAATTACTTCATTACTTTTATTTTGAAAATATGACCCATGTTCATTGTAAAATATTTAAACAATGGACAAAGAGGTAAAGTTACCTGAAATTCTACCACTTATCTGGTGCCTTTGTTGGTGAAATAAGAGAAGGAAAAGGGCCTAAAGTTTGCAGTTGTGCAAGACTGAAATGGGATGGAGTGGGGCCTCCTGATTGGGGTTGTGCAGATCCATGACCCTCCCTTCTCCCCCATCTGCAGTGCCTCCACTGCCCTCACTGATTCCTGGTCCACCACTAGAAGAGGGCCAGGGCCTGACATTGGCAGCCTCCTGTACTGCTGAGGGCAGCCCTGCTCCCAGGGTGACCTGGGACACAGAGGTCAAAGGCACAACATCCAACCGCTCCTTCAAGCACTCTCGCTCAGCTGCTGTCACTTCAGAGTTCCACCTGGTGCCTAGCCGCAGTATGAATGGGCAGCCACTTACTTGTGTGGTCTCCCACCCTGGTCTGCTCCAGGACCAAAGGATCACTCACACCCTCCAAGTGGCCTGTAAGTATCTGTATCTGGATGCTTGGGTAGGGAGGCTTCTGGGTTCCAACCCTCTGTGTTCAGAAAGGATTGCTGAGACATTGTGCATCCCAGAGCTGTGCCAGCCTGGCCAGCCTGGGTCTTGAAGTCCACAATGTGTGAGAGAGCACTAGTCCAGAGGTAGAAGACTCAGAGCCCAGTCTCGGATGACCTTGGTAAATCACTTAGATCTCTCTAAGTTTCAGGGTCCTTATAGTCACCGAGGAGATTGCCTTGCTTCACAGCATTGGTGGAAAAATTAAATATAAACACGGAATTGAAAACATTTTGCGAAATATACAGTTTAGGGCTTGGAGACAGACTTGGGACAAGACCTTGTTCTGCTGTTTACCAGCTGTTATTTAATCTTGTTAGGCTTCATTTTCTTCATCAGCAAAATGAGTATAATTATACCAACTTTACAGGATTTTGATGAGAATTTGCAGCTATGAATGCTAAGTGTCTCACACAGAACTGAAATCACAGGAGGCTTCAGTAAACGATAGACGGTGTGTTCCTGCATTAGGCTTTTAGCTGAAACTACACTAGCATTTGGCACAAAGTAGGTCCTCAAATGTTTGCTAAAGAAACAGATGCACTACTGGAATTGTTAGGCCTTCCAAGAATCCAGCTGCATTTATTGAGCACCTGTGCTATGATTAGTTCTATGCTAGGCACCACAGGGGATCCAGAAAAAGTGTGACACATCACTGGCCTAAGGACCTGTGGGCTCGTGGCACAGGTAAACCAGTACAGACTCTGAGCTTAGAGAGGAAAAGGAGCCATGTGGCCAGGAGCTGTCTGCGAGGTGAAGCCAGGCTAGGCTTGGCAGTAGATGAGTAGGATGAAGAAGGGCAGGGGGAGGCTATTCCAGCAGGGTGCGGCAGGGGTCGGGGACCCCTCCAGGAACCATATGATTAAAGGCATCATTCCCATTTTTTGTCCTCCCACCTCCCATTCCAGTCCTTACTGAGGCCTCTGTGAGGGGCCTTGAGGACCAAAAGCTGTGGCACGTTGGCAGAGAAGGAGCTGTGCTCAAGTGCCTGAGTGAAGGGCAGCCCCCTCCCTCATACAACTGGACACGGTAAGGGCCTGGGTCTGTGGGAGGGCCTAGCTTGGGGCTAAGGTCCTTCCTTCCCAGGGCCAAGGTAGACTTGTTATGGGCTGGGACTGTATGTTCTGAACTCTTGATAAGTTGGGACATACATTCAGACTAATAATAAATATATGTGGTCACCAAATATTATTATTGGCTTGCCCCAGAGAATTTAGGACACATGCTCATTGATAGGGAATTAACTGGTATGTTCTTGACTTTTTCTCTGATTTTTAATTTGTGAACTATAAGAGTATGAAATATTAATATTTTATACTTTTATGTTAGCGCTAAAAGTATGTGAGACAAAAAGACAGCTGACTGTAACTGTTGTTACCCCAACACTTGGGTAACCACCACAATGTTGCCAGCACCTCAAAAACACCCACCCACTTCTGCCAGTTCCCTCGAGTCCTTGGCTTTTTTCCCGGGTCTGAGCTGTCCAGAGAGTCAGGGAGGGATATAGGGTGCACATATATGTGAGCCTATGCTAGACATGTTCTCATGTGTGGGCATGTGTACCTGCATGTGGCTTTGTGCCTAGGGCTAGGTTTATGTACCTGGCTATGCAACATCATGGGTGTTGGAGCAGGCAGTCACATTTTCCAAGTACCTCTGAGCCCCTGTTGGGTGGACCTTATAGCATGAGTACCTAGTACCCAGTGCTGGATGACGTGATGCCTGTGGACGCATGTAGGATGGCATGCGTGTGGATCTTCCCCGAGTGTGTATGGGGGTGCCTGGGTCAGGCTGGGCGGCAGGGAGAAGGGCCTCTGCCTAGACCTGCCTAGGGGAGGGCGGGGCACCGTGGGAACAGCCAGCGGCTCTGGGTGACGTCATGTGGGAGGGGGGTGGAGAGCTGCCCAGGCATGTTGGGTGGTGGCAGCCTCAGCCCGCCCCAGCCGGCACCCTTCCGCTTCCCTGTTCTCCAGGCTGGATGGGCCTCTGCCCAGTGGGGTGCGAGTGGAAGGAGACACTCTGGGCTTTCCCCCGCTGACCACTGAGCACAGTGGCATCTACATCTGCCGTGTCAGCAATGAGCTTTCCTCGAGGGATTCTCGGGTCACCGTGGATGTTCTTGGTAAGCATGGGCTTGGGGGACATAGAGAAGGGACCAGGGCTGGGGGATGAGCCACAGGGAGCAATTCAGAGAGAAGGAGCTGGGGAAGTACTTATTTGGGGGTGCTGGATGGTGTATTTTGCAGAGGGTCAAGTGGAGTGGATGGCTGTGGATGTGCCCTATGAGGAAAGTGTGTGGAGTTGTGGGTCTGGGGTGGACCAGGGATCTGGGCGTGCACCTCAGACAGTGGCCTGTCTCCAGCAGACCCTCAGGACCCAGGGAAGCAGGTGGACCTAGTTTCGGCCTCAGTGGTGGTGGTGGGTGTGATCGCCGCGCTCTTGTTCTGCCTTCTGGTAGTGGTGGTGGTGCTCATGTCCCGATACCATCGGCGTAAGGCCCAACAGATGACCCAGAAATAGTGAGTACTGGCTGCTCCTGGTCAGGTAGAACTGACTGGGAACAAAGAGGAAGCAAGCAGGAGGTGGGCCGGCGCTGGCACCGAGGAGAGTGAGGAGACTGGGTAGCTGTTACTGGGGAGCTTACAAACCAGAAGTGGAGTCTTTTGGGAGGTTAAAAGGGGCTTGGGGCCTGGACCACAGCTGGAGGAGGGAAACCATACTGCCTGAGTGAGGATCAGGTTCATGTGCCTGGGTATCACCTTCTCTGCACACTCATGTGTGGCACACATATGCTCTTCAGCCACACTGCCACCTGCAGTCACACATTCACACTTGCAGGTCTAGCACAGAACCCACACCCTTCAGCTGTGAATAGATTTGCCCAGGCTAGGCTTACTTTGGGAGGCTGCCACTACCCTCAGCACCTAACAAAGGGGTGTCTCTTTCAGTGAGGAGGAGCTGACCTTGACCAGAGAGAACTCCATCCGGAGGCTGCATTCCCATCACACAGACCCCAGGAGTCAGGTGTGTGCCAAGACTGGGTGCATGTGTGTGTGGGGGGGTGACCACATGCTTGTGCCTGAGCTCCTTTGCAGACCAGGAACACAGCATCCACCAAGTCTGGCTGCTGACTCATAGCTGGGGCTGGGCTGGGGCTAGAGTTAGGGGGTCATAGCTGTCTTGGGTCTGCTCTGACTCCTAGGGAGGCTCCTTCAGCACTGGCCTGGTGGCAGCTCTGGGAATCTACCATCAGCACTGGTTCTAGGGTGGGTTTTGGGTGGGGGAATGAGAATGTTTGCTTCAGGGAGAAACTGGACCTGTGGGGTTGGGGGTAAGGCGATTAGGGAGGAGGCTGGTGGAGAATAAGAGATGAAGAGGCTGAGGGGAGGAGGCCGAGCTCTGTTCTAACTCCTCCTCCGTGTCCGGGCCCACAGCCGGAGGAGAGTGTAGGGCTGAGAGCCGAGGGCCACCCTGATAGTCTCAAGGACAACAGTAGCTGCTCTGTGATGGTGAGGCCCCCGGCCCCACCAGTGTCCCCACCACTATCCTCAGGCCCCTTTCCTGGCCCCAGATGTGGTGCGTCAGCAGTCACCTTACCCTTGAGCCTTCGCCCTGGCTCACGTGGCCCACCCTTGCATCTTTGTTATGCCTTTGCTGTCTGTCTGCCCTTCCCTGTGCTTAACACTTGTTCCTGGTCCCTGATCTTTGAACCCCTATGCCTCTGGGACAACCCTTAACCCTGCTTTGACTGACCTCTGACCCCACGATGACCCAATTGTACCCCACTGTGTCTAGCTTCCCTGTCTTGATTCCTGACTTGTCCTTTGCCCTTGGTCTCCAGAGTGAAGAGCCGGAGGGCCGAAGTTACTCCACACTGACCACAGTGAGGGAGATTGAAACACAGACTGAACTGCTATCTCCAGGTTCTGGGCAGGCAGAGGAGGAGGATCAGGATGAAGGCATCAAACAGGCCATGAACCACTTTGTTCAGGAGAATGGGACCCTGCGGGCCAAACCCACGGGCAATGGTATCTACATCAACGGGCGGGGGCACCTGGTCTGACCCAGGCCTGCCTCTCTCCCCTAGGCCTGGCTCCTCTGCTGACATGGGGAATTTCAGCTCATCTAGGGGGCCTCCTTAAATGCCCGCATTTCTTGAGGAAGGTGCTTCCCACCCCACTGACTGCTCAACCTTTTCCTCCAACTCTTCTGTTTATTGGGAGTGCCCCACTCTTTGAGTTCTTCCCACCATGTGTGCAGGTCACTGTGTGTGTTCACACACATGCTCATGTGTGTTCACTTTATGGTGTGTGTAGTGCATGCCTGCCAACGTGTGTGTGTGTGTGTGTGTGTGTGTGTGTGTATAGGAGTGATGTGTGTATAGGAGTGACTGTCCACGATGTATCTCACGATGTAACGTTAGAGTCGCAGTGAATAGTGGTATGTGTGTCACAGGATTTGGGTGGCTGCATTATGGAACACTGTCAGGGTTTAGTTTGTGTGTTGTGTGGCTGTATGTGACCTCTGCCTGCAAGTGCAGGTACTTTCTTCAGACCCCAGAGCAGTATTAGTGATGCAGAGGTTGGAGTTGAGAGGTGGAGACTGTGGGCCAGATCCAGGTGTGCGGGCATAGCTGGAGCTGGAATCTGGCCTCTGAAGTGGGGGAGCAAGTTTCCCACCACTTGGGAGCCATGGACCAAGTGTGAAGCCACCGCCAAGGGGTCTGCCAGAGGCTGGGACTGTTACAGAAGAAGCCTCTGCCCTCTGGTGGCCTGTGGGCCTGCTGCATGTATATACTTTTGTAAATAAACCTTCACAGGGAGTTTTTAGATTATTGCTGTGACTCCCTTAATAAGAGAGGGGAAAAACAAACCAAACCAAAACAAAAAAAAACAACAACCTTGAAAAGCCTTTGCATCTGGTTACTGAGCTTTCTTTAGTGAGGCCAGCCTACATACGCATTCAGCAAAGCTGGATCTCGTGCACACCCCATCCCAAGGTTTTATTCCTGTGGTTGTGAAAGGTGTTCCTTCTAAGGTATCTTCAGCCAGGGGGTCCCTGGGGAGGGAGCCTGAAAACTGGTGGACTCAAACCGATAGCATGAGTCCCCTGGCCACTGGCTAAGGGAGGAAGGGGAAGGTGCTTGGCCTTAGTGGCCCTTCAACTCTTCTCCTAGCCTCACCTCAGTTTTAGTTGTATCCAGTTGTTTGTGGTCCCTTGGGTGAGTTGCTGGGACTTGGTAACAAGGCCTCCTGGTTCAATTGTGGTGTTGGGGAAAGAGGGTAGTGATTGCAGAGCAAGGACGGGAGTTCACCTAAGGGGAAGGAGGTGCTGGGATGAGACTGTCTCCTTTCCTCTGTGGATTCTGGATCATTAATTCTGGGTTGCTCTGGCCGTTTCTCTGCGTGAGGACTGGAACTAGATTTTTTTTTTTCCTTCGTCCCACCCAAACACACAGCCAGAATACTGCGATTTAGTGCCCAAAATCTGAGTGGCCTCAAATCTGCTGGATTTCTGCACTAAAGGAGAGGCTTCCATACCCTGTTCCCCAGCCAGCCCAGGACTTTGTGGAACTCTATGAGCTAGGATCCTAGTATGTACATTTTGTGTAAATATGTGCATATTTATATATAAAATGATATTCTGTTTTTAAATAAACAGATAAAACCTGTTCTGTCTGGTTCCTGTCTTGACCTTGAATTATATATAAGCCTCGAGTGCTATCTGCTCTATCTTAGCACCATCCTCTGTGTGCTCTCAAGCAGGGCAGGGCTAGGATGCAGGTAGCTTGGAGAGAGAGGGGAAAGAATTGGCTTCCACAAGGCCTTCAGCTATCTCTGAGAGTCTCCAGGTAGGAGAGTGGAGCTAAGAACCCCTTCTGGGAAAGTCGATGCCTTAGTTTGCGAAGTATTATAAATCCTTTATTGTACTGCAGACACAACAGCTGTGTGAAGGAGGAGACAGTAGTGAACCTTTTCACAGATAAAGAAACTGAAACTCAAGTTATTTGAGTTCCACTGACTGTTAGAACTGGAAGAATTCAAAGATCATTTAGTCTACACCCTTCATTTTCAAATGTGTGGAAACTGAGGCTCAATAAAGTAATGTGGCTTGACTGAAGTGACAATCCCATCAGAAGCAGAGCCCTGGCATCTTCCTCCAGGTGTGCTTTGCCCAGCCCTGTGCCACCTTGCTCCCAAGCAAACCTCAGGTCTCCCCGTCAAACCCATGAATTCTGGTCTTTAGGGGTATTGGTCACCTGCTCACACCCCAGACACCATCATCCCACCCCAGAGCTCTGACATCACCTTCCCTTGACCAATAGGTGAAGTCCCAGCAATGGGTGAAGATGTGAGTGTCAGCTACCTCCCCCACCCCAGGCCCTGTGGTTGCAAAGATGCTCTAACAGGAAGCGGGTTTGAGGAGCTGCACAGCTTCCTGCCCCCGAGAACTGAGCGAGGCGAGACTGGAGAGTGCCTGGCTGGGCCACGAGACACAGCTTCATGCCAGGGTCCTGGTAGCTTCCTGTTCCATAGCCACTTCCGTGTGGCGGGGGCCCCAAAGGCAAGAGCTGCTGTCCGTTGCCCAGGCCACCCTCCACCTCCAGTTTGGAGCCCTGCCCCTCTGGGGCTGGGCCAAGCTCAGCAGCCAGCGGGCTTGGATCCCATGGGGGTCTGGTAGGGCAAAGGTCTTGGGGGACAGACTTGACTGGGCCAGAACCCTGGGGCTCCGGCCATGAAGTCTCGGCAGAAAGGAAAGAAGAAGGGCAGCTCCAAGGAGCGGGTGTTTGGGTGTGACTTGCAGGAGCACCTGCAGCACTCAGGCCAGGAGGGTAAGGAGGCCAACTCAGAGCTATGGCGGGTGGTGAGCAGGTGCTGAGCTTCTCCAGCCTGATTTGGTCTGAAGGGCAGAAGTAGCTTCTGGGTGCTCCTGGGGAAGGGACAGTGCGTGGCCTAGGGTCACCATCCAAAGGACCTATGAGCAGGCAAGACAGGAAATGTAGTTCAGAGAAGAAGGTAGAGTGGCTCCCTGTGTCACTTTTTGGGGATGGGTGACTGAGGGAATGAGAATGTGAACACAGAAGGGTGGGGATGGAGAGTTTGGAAAGTCAGGAGAGGTGGACAAGACAGAGGAGAGGACAGGAGGAGGGGGATGGCGGAAGTGATGGGGTCAGGAGAGGAGTGGCTGAAGGGACACTGTGATCGTCCTGGGTCTAAATGAACAAAGACAGGAGAAGGGGTCCCTGAGGGTCTACGGATGACTTTTGGGGAGGAAGGGGTTATCCTAGCTGGAGAAGAGCACTCAGAGACAAGGACCAGGCCCCTCTGCAGCCTTGCTGGGCCTAATGTGGGGTGGGGATGGCCTTCTTCAGTATCTGTGCAAAGGAGAAACAGGTTCAAGGTGGAGGGGAAGGGTAGAAGCTGCGAAAATGTGGAACACCGGAAGAGTGAAAGAGATGGCATCAGGCATGTTTTGCAGAGGGTGGAAGTTGTAAAGGAGCGTGGATGTGGGCACTGTCTGTGGAGCTCAGCTGAGTTCCCTTGGAGTGGGCTTGGAAGCCAACAGCACCAGGGGCAACCCTAGCCTCACCACTTGTGCCTGCCATTAGTAGCCACTCAAAACCGTTTCTTAATTTGATTTGAAATTGAATCCAGCTATTCTGGCTGCCCAGCCTGGCATGTTTTTGGCACACCGAGCGCTTTACAGAGAAGGGCACAGTTCTTCCCTCCCTCCCCGCCCCCACTGCACCCCACCCCAATCTGTCATTTCCTCTTTGTCCTCTCCTGTGCTCTGGCTGTGGTGCCTGCAGTGGAGGGAGGGAGATGGTGGTTCCCAGTTCATTTCCTGCCCTTAGCCACGCCCTTGTGTCCCCAGACACCTCCTTCCCCTTTTCTCCTCCCTCAGAGGGCCCCCATCCCCTCTGGCCTTGGTTAAGGGAAAGCCTGGGCCCCAAGGAAGAGTGTTAAACAGCTGAGGCTGGTTTCTCTGAGTCTTCCTCTTCTCACTAGGCTGAGTGAATGCAGCATGGCGTTCTCTCAGGATTTGCTCCTCTACAATGATTCCTCTCTAGAGATGATTCTTGCCCAAGGACCTCATGATACAATAGGGAATGATATTCTTCTCCTAGCTCTCCGCAAATTCTCAGTTAAGTGTCCTCATTCTGGCACTGCTCTTTTCCATGGTTCCCATTACAATCCTATCTTAAAACACCGAACCACAGACAGTCCAGACCCCACTCCTGTGACCCTCCTGGCCTTCATCTGCATTCCCAGCAGGTGAAGGGCGTGCTTTCCAGAAGGGATAAGCATCTGGTTGCTGGATCCTGATCCCAGGTGAACTTCAGAGCAGGTGAGAAATACCTTCGGGCCCTCACTAGAAGCTTACCTGAGCCCAAGAGATGGATCTTGGGTATCAGAGCAGCAGTGGTAGCCCCTCCCCCTTCTTCTACCTTTCCTGGTAGGACAAAGAGAGACTGGTAATGACATCTCTCTTTAACCCAAGACCAGCAAGGAAATGAAATCCCAGACCAGGGAGATCTGTTTGCTGTAAATTAATGGTCTCTGGTCATCTTGGCTTCTCCCATCCTTGCAACCTTGCTCCATCTCAGCCATCTCTCCCAGCTCTTTGCCCCCAAATGGATTTCTTTCCTCCCCAAAACCTATAGGCCCTGAGATCTATCGAATCTATACCTCTTTGATACCTTGCTCAGGTTTTGGATTCATCAGGTCCCTAAGCTGTAGGCCCTCATACTTGACACCACCCCATATCCTTGATGTCTTCATACCTTTGACTCCATCGCTCCAACCTTTCTCTAACATATTTCTGACCTCATCTCTCTGATCTCTATCTTCCCAACTTTCCCATCTCTCTGACCTTGTTATTTCTTCCCCCATCTCTTGATCCATTTCTTCTGTGGCTCTGGCTCCTTGAGCTCTTGCAAGCTCTCTTTAAAAGTCTACTCTGGAGGTCCAAAATCAATTGAGAAGAATGGGATGGGGAAGACCTGATTTGGTTGCTGTTCATGTGTCAAGGACCTAAAAGTTTGGGTAACAGCAGGCTATTTATGAGTTAGCAGAGTAATATGGTGACCAAAAGAGCTGGTAAGGCATTATGCACCCAAGGGTAGAACAGCAAGGAGGGCCTGCCTCATCTCTGCATTCAGTGTTGAGAACAGGAGGATCCTGTCTAATAGAAGTAGGTCCTAAAAGCATGGACATTGAACTGTAGGGTTGGGATTAGAGTGAGGCAAGAAAGGGGGTAACAGTGCAAAGTTTTAGGAACCACTTATTCTTGGACCATGCAAGTGCCCTAGGTGTCTTGTTCTTAAGGAGATACTCTCAGGACCGTGTGTGTGTGTGTACTGTTAGCACTTTCACAGTCCTGAGAGTGAGTACTTCCTTAAATTTTGCACCCTAGGTGCTGCCCTTGTTCCAACCAAGTTTGACTATTGTGGGTGAAGAGTCTGAAAACCAGGTCATACGAAGAGAGTAGAAAATTAGTGGTTGATAAGTTTTATTGATTGCTTCCTTCATTCCATATGTCTATCATACTTTATTCTCCAAAGAGCTTGGGGTGACCTCCAAAGCCCATTACTACAGAAACACAAATTAAATGACTGAAGAAATTGGACTAAAGGGAAAACAAGATCAACACTTAGAAATACATATCAGGTGGTCCCATTTGGTTCCTAAGGTGGGTTTTGAACTTCCTGTTGCTTAAAGAGGTAAACATGGTCATATAAAACTCATAGCCTAAGAAAAAACAGAACAGGTGGTTTAGAAGAATCTCATCATTTTCTGATACTGACATGTGAGAAGGATTTCTGTGGTGAGTCTCTGTTAATAGGACCCAATGTTTTGTCATAGGCAATATTCTTTACTAAATCTCCAAGGGATGTCAGCAATTCTTATAACTGATTAATTATTCACCAAGTCTTTTAACAAACATTCATTGAGTACCTGCTCTGTTTCACCACTGTGCTAAATGCTGGGAGGATGCTAGTATCCTCTTGTCAGGAGGTATAGATATAAAATAACAAAATACAGTAACTACTATAATACATACAGATATGAGGAAAGGATTCAGAATTGGAGGTGACACAAAGTGTCATTATGTTGCCCAGGCATCTCCCAAACTCCTGGGACACGCTCTTCTCCTGCCTCAGTCTCCCAAGTAGTTAGGACTACAGGCATGTACCACTGTGCCTAAAGCTTGAGGTATGTTTTGAGGATGCATAAGAGCTCATCAGGCAGAGTCAGAGGGGAGGATATTTCCAGTCAAGAGAATAACTTGAGTGTCTTAGTCCATTTTGTGCTGTTATAGCAAAATATCTGGACTGCATAACTTACCAAGTAAAGAAATTTATTTGGCTCACGATTCTGTTTGACCGGAAGGTCCAAACAGCATGGCCCTGGCATCCTAGCAAAGGCTCCCTGGCTGAGTCACAATATGGTGGAAAAATGGAAAGGGAACTGGCTGCATGCAGAAAGGACAAAATATATGGGGTATCCTTACTTGTAACAACCTACTCTCAGGACTCCTAATCCATTTGCACAAGAGTTAACCCCCTCCCAAGAGATAGCATTGCTGGACTTGGTGACACATGTCTGTAATGTCATCACTCGGCAGGCAAGTAGAGTCAGGAAGATGTGAGTGTGAGGCCAGCCTGGGCTATATAGCAAGACCCTGTCTCAAAAAGGGCTGGTGAGTGGCTCAAGGTATAGGCCCTGAGTTCAAATACCAGCCCTGCAAAAAAAGAAAACAAACAAACAAAAAAACCCAAACAAGCTGGGCGTAGTGGTACAGGTCTACAATTACAGCACTTGCAAATGCAGGAAGATTGTGACTTTGAGGCCAGCCTGGGCTACATAGTGAGGAACTGTTTCAGACAAAATAAAGCAAACAAATGAACAAAAACCTCAAGAGGCAGCATTAATCCATTCATGAGGGTAAAACCCCCAAGACCTAATTACTGTCCATTAGGGCCCATCTCTTAAATGTCCTACCACCTCAACATCACCACGCTGGGACCAAGCTTCCAGGACACAAATCTTTGAGGGACCAACCACCTCCAGATCTTAGCAATGAGGGATGACTAAGGCTTGTTCATGGAGTAGGAAAAGGCTGAATTCTAGAGAAAGGAATGGCAGCTGGACCTGTTTTGTGAAGGGTCTCATATACCAGGCTGAAGATTTCATATTTTATTCTGCATTTGTAAGGTAAGCAATGGATATTCAGGTAGAGCACAGGGTCTAGGTGTATGTGTGTAGCAAAAGATTTAATGCAGGGAAGTCCTTCGGAAAAATAACCACTTGGGCCAGGCATGGTGGCCCATGCCTGTGGTCCTAGCTACTTGGGAGGCTGAGGCAAGAGGATTGCTTGAGTTCTGGGCTATTGTGCACTATGCTGATTGTGTCTCCAAATTAAGTTTGGCATTAATATGGTGACCTCCTGGGAGGGGATGTGAAGACCACAAAGTTGCCTAAGGAAGGGGGAACGGCCTAGGTTGGAAAAATAACCACTTGACTTTGTGGAGTTCCACTTGAGCCACTCTGGCAGCCCCCTCCCCCCCCTTTTTTGATGGGCTTTTTTGAGATAGGGTCTTGTGAACTGTTTGCCTGGGCTGGCTTCAAACCATGATCCTCCTGATCTCTGCCTCCTGAGTAGGTAGAATTACAGGCATAAGCCATAGGTACCCTGGATCAACCCATGGTTTTTGAGAAACTGTCACATCTGATACTATGCCAGATATGAAGAACACAGAGATGGATCACACTTAAGTCTTTTTTTTATTAGCATACATTAATAGTTCAAGAGGGTTCACTGTGGTGATTCCATAGATACATACAGTTCTGTTAAGCCCTCACACTTAGATCTTCTCCTTATATAGCATACAGTCTAGTAACAGGGAGTTGACCCAGAGTTAAGAGAGAGACTTCAGCTTTTTACTCTCTTGGATTTGAATCTTGGCTCAAGCTGGGTGCTGCTGGGCACTTCTTTGATCCTCAGTTTTATGTTTGTAAAATAAGGACTATAAGACCAAGTAGTTTACAAGACTAAATGATAGCACATGCAGAAAGCAGTTAGCATAGGGGTTTCTTTCCTGAATTGACCCAATTGAAGGTCATCCACTGTTTTGTGTACTTCCAATGTCAAAATAGCCGTGAGCTTTCTTATCAGAGTTTCGTGATTTCAATTCTTTTTTTTTTAATTTTTGGCAATACTGGGCTTTGAACTCAGTGCCTCACACTTGCTAGGCAGGCACTCTGCCACATGAGCCACTCTACCAGCCTAAGCTTTCTTGAGAGCCTCAGAATGATCCGCTTCAGCCTGTTGCATTTGAGTTGAGAAAACTAATGTTCTTTTATCATATGTAGAATGTTACATAAATGTACTTTCAGGACCTCTCCCACCCACCAGATTGCTGCCCTTTAAAAATTCTGTAGTAGCAACTGGGAACTACAAAGACAAGTTTCAGCTGGAAAAAGGGTAGACCTGAGATGAATTGGCAGTATGGAGAGGCAGTGAGCTCCAGTCACTACAGGGTTTATGCCTAGGCTCTAGGACCAAGAGGCAGAGTTCCTGTAGAGAAGTTGGCAGGTGGGTGTTGGTGATCTGTAAGACACTTTCTGACAAGCTTTATTCCATAAGCTTTGGCCTCAATCTCCCCGAACTCCCTCCCATGATGCTTCAATTTCCCAGACCCCCTACAATCCCTGGCCTCTCAAACTTTCTCATTTCTTTCCCCAGTACCCCAGGTGCTAAGAAGCTGTGCAGAGTTTGTGGAAGAGTATGGAGTGGTAGATGGAATCTACCGCCTCTCCGGGGTCTCCTCCAACATCCAGAAGCTCCGGTGAGTCAAATAGAGTGGGAGGACTGTGAGCAGGAGGCCAAGGAGCCAGAGCGTTGTGGTGAGAGCTCTGTGGAGAGCAGAGAGGATGGGTGGGCAAGTGGGAGAAGGAAGCACAAATGTTAGGTACTGTTCTAAGAAGGCACACTAATATCTCCTCAGGCAGGGCAGAGACCACGTCTCTATCTCAGACATGCACCCATCTCCGCTCCCACGTGTACTCACTGGACTTTTAAAATAATGTAGATATAATTCACATACCACAAAATTCACCATTTATTTGGCGATACTGGGGTTGGTGCTTAGGGCCTTTCACTTGCTAGCCAAGTGCTCTACCACTTGAGCCATGCCCCAAATCTTAAAATTCATCATTTAAAAATTTACAGTTTATGGGCTGGTGGAGTGGCTCAAGTGGTAGAGCACCTGCTTAGCAAGAGCAAGGCCCTGAGTTCAAGCTCCAGTACCACCAAAAAAAAAAAAAAAAAAGTTTAGGGCTGGATGTCTGGCTCAAGTAGCCTGCCTAGCCTTGCCCACCTAGCAAGTGCAAAGCCCTAAGATCAAACCACAGTACTGCCAAAATAAATAGATAAATACATACATAAAAATAAAAATTTAACTGGGTACTGGTGACTTATGGCTGTAATCCTAGCTACTCAGGAGGCAGAGATCAGGAGGATCTTGGTTCAAAGCCAGTCCAGGCAAATAGTTCCACAAGACCCTATCTGGGAAAAAACAAAAAACAAAAAACATCACAAAAAAGGGCTGGTGGAGTGGCTTAAAGTGTAGGCCCTGAGTTCAAACCTCAATCCCATAAATAAATAAATAAATAGATAGATAAATGTACAAGTTACTGGTTTTTAGTATATTCACATTGTACAACCATCATTACCATCAAATTCCAGAACATTTTACCATCCCCAAAAGAAACACTGGGCTCGTTAGCATTCACTCCACGTTTCTTCTTCACCTAGCCTTGGCAACTGCTAATCTACCTACTATCTTCATGGACCTGCCCATTCTGTACATTTCATCTAAATGGATTGACTCAATATGTGTGTTTCTATGTCTAGCTCCTCATTTAGAATGTTTTCAAGGTTTGTGCGTGCTGTAGCTTGTGCTAGCATCTCACTCCTTTCTATGGCTGAATCATATTCCGTGGTCTAGCTAGATCACAGTGTGTATCCATTCATCAGTTGATGGATACTTGTTTTGTTTCTACCTTTTGACTATTATAAATAATTCTGTTGTAAATACGCACAAATTTTTTTGGGGGGGGACTGGAATTTGAACTCAGGGTTTTGCACTTGCAAAGCAGGTGTTCTATTGCTTGAAGCACGCCTCCAGTCAATTTAGCTCTGGTTATTTTGGAGCTGGAGTCTCGTAAACTATTTGCCAGGACTGGCTGAGATCCTCTCCATCTCAGCCTCTTAAGTAGCTAGGATTATAGGCATGAGCCACTGGTGCCTGGATGAACAGGTTTTTGTAAACATATATTTTCAGTTCTTTTGAGTACATACTTCATAGTGGAACTACTGGATCACATGTTAACTCTATGTTGAACTTTTTAAGTAACTGCCAAACTATTTTCCATTACAGCTGTATGGTTTATACCCAGCTAGCAATGTGTAAAGGCACCTGTTTCTCCACATCCCTGGCAACAACTCGTTACTGTTTCTTTTTGTAGCCATCTTGGTGGGTGTGAATTGACACTTCATTGTGATTTATATTTGTATTTTCCTAGTAGCTAATGATATTGAAAATCCTTTGGAAGCCAGGCACTGGTGGCTCATGCCTATAATCTTAGCTACTTAGGAGGCAGACAATAGGAGGATTGCAGTTTGAGGCCAGCCTGGGTAAATAGGTTACAAGACCCTATCTTGAAAATAACCAACACAAAAAAGGGTTGGCAGTGTGGCTCAAGTGGTAGAGAGGCTGTCTAGTAAGCACAAGCCCTGACTTCAAACCTCTGTACTACCAAAAGAAACAAAAGATCCTTTCACGTGCTTATTGCCATTATAACTTTTTTTTGGTTCTTTTTTGGCAGCTGGGCGTGGTTGTGCATGCCTATAATCCCACACTTGGCAGAAGGATGGTGAGTTTGAGGCCAACCTAAACTATATAATGACATCCTGCCTCAAAAAGCCAAACAATTTTTTTTTGTGGTACTGGGGTTTGAACTCAGGGCCTACACCCTGAGCCACTCCACCAGCCCTCCCCCTTTTTTTATGATTGATTTTTTTCAAGATAGGGGTCTCATGAACTATTTGCCTGGGCTGGCTTCGATCCACCACCCTTCTGATCTCTGCCTCCTGAGTAGGTGGGATTATAGGTGTGAGGCACCTGTAATTGTTTTATTGTTGAGTTGTAAGAAGAATTCTTTATATGTTCTGAATACTAGATCCTAATCAGATATATGATTTGCAAATATTTTCTCTCATTCTACAGTTTGTCTTTACCTTTGTGTGTGTTTGTGTGATACTGAGGATTGACCCAGGGTTCATTTTCCTTTGACACACAAAAGTTCTTAATTTTGATGTTCAGTGTATTTATTCTTTTTCTTGCTTGTGCTTTTGGTGTCATATCTAACCAACTGTAATCCAACCAAGGCCATGAAAATTAACACTTATGTTTCTAAGAGTTATACTCATCCAGTTTTATACTTATCTAAAAGTACATCTTTAGGTTTATTCCCCACTTCTACTGACTCTACAACCCTGTGTTGCTGTTCATATCTATAGTGACATCCCTGGCATATCCTTGTTCATGAACAAATCCACTTACCCGTCCACATATCCATCTTCACACCCATATCTACACATTGCCATACAGATCCCAACATTCCCCTTCCAAGGCCTACTCATGTTGACCCATGACCCCACCTGGAGCTCATCTCTACACCTCCCAACTCTCCCCTCATTTCCCTTGACTCCTGCCACTCCTGACCACTCTGCACCTCCCCAGGCAGGAGTTTGAGGCAGAGCGGAAGCCAGACCTGCGGCGGGATGTTTACCTCCAGGACATACACTGCGTCTCCTCCTTATGCAAGGCCTATTTCAGAGAACTGCCAGATCCTCTGCTCACTTACCGGCTCTATGACAAATTTGCTGTGAGTTGAGAGGCAGAGGGTGGAAGAAGACAGGGCTGGGGAAGAGGGTGGGGCAATCACTCTGGTTTTGACATCCCAGGTGTGTCACATATAAGCCAGAGTCCTAGTGATCCTGAATGACAGAGACCACACTAAAAAAAGCATTCTTAGGGAAAGATCCCTCCTCCCCAAATCTCCTGGCCCCTGCAACCTCTGTGATCCCCTGTCCCTCCTCTTCATTCTCCTTCCACCATGTCCTTCCCCAAGGCCTGCAGACTGCAGACAGCACTAGTGGTAAGACTGGGAGGTAGAGGCCAGATTGTCAGAACTGGAAGGCCTTGGAAAGCACCTAGATCTTCCTTACATTTAAGAGAACAAGGACACTTTTCAGAAGTGAAAACTTTTCAGGGATGCCCCTCCATTAACTATAATTGTATGTTGAACACCTTTTGTATGAGAAAACACAAGGACAAAAATGATATCCTGAACTGAGTAACGCTTTTAAACTAAATTGACTCAGAAATGGTAGTACGTGACTGCAGTCCCAGCTACTTGGGAGGCTGAAGCACGGGGATTTCTTAAGCCGAGAGTTTGAGACCAGCAGCAAAACCCTGACTCCAAAAAAGAAGTTGCATTTTATCAAGCACAATAGCACTGAGAGATCCTGAATAGCAGCCGCATCCATTCAGTCCATGAGGTTAGCCTGGGTGGGTGTAAACCATCCTGAACAACTTGAAATAATGGGGCACCTGCAGGGTGGGACTGTTGATATATCCCAGTGCCAGAGCTGTACCAGTGAGGACACTGAGGCAGGGAGTAGCAGTGAGTGGCCCAAGGCCACAAAACTATTAAGTGACATAACCAAGATTCAGCTACTGTCTTGTGTGGGCCCCAAATTTTGAGCTTTTTTTTTTCTTTAGTGATAAGGGTTGACCCAAGGACAAAGCCCCTTGTATTTTATTATTTATTTTGAGACAAAGTCTTACTATGTAGCCCAGGCTGACCTCTGCTTTAGCCTCCTGAGTGCTGGGATTACAAATGTGTGCTCCACTCCAGGCCTGATTTTACTACGTTAAAGTGCCCAGAAGATCCGGGTGGGGGCAGTGTAGAATACAGCATGATTAGTCCTGAAAGTTTGGTTTGGAGCTCTGAGGAGTAAAAGGAGGGCAATGGGGAGATTACTGAGTCACTCTCTTCTTCTTGTACCCTTGTCTCCAACCAGGAGGCAGTGGCAGTGCAATTGGAACCTGAGCGCCTGATCAAGATCCTAGAGGTGCTCCGAGAACTTCCTGACCCAAACTATAGGTATACGGGGCTCCTCCTTCTGTACTTCAGAGACCCCCATCCTGCACCTGCCGACTGCCCAACTTCCTCTCCACTAAAGCCTTACTTGTCTCCCATGCCTACCCCCTACCCTACTGATTCCAGGTCCCAGCCTGAGCCCTGCCATGGGTGTTCCTTGTGTGATTCTTGCCCCACTTTTTGCAGGACCCTGGAGTTCCTCATGCGGCATTTGGTGCACATGGCTTCATTCAGTGCCCAGACCAACATGCATGCCCGCAACCTGGCCATCGTGTGGGCCCCCAACCTGCTGAGGTGTGTGTGTGTGTGTGTAAACAATGTGTGGGGTCCTGCGAGAGATTAGCCTGATCTCACTGTAGTGAGTTGGACCAGGCTGTGTAGAAGCACTGTGTGTGTGTGTGTGTGTGTGTGTGTGTGTGTGTGTGTGTGTGTGTGTGAATGGGTGGGGTCTCTTAAAGCCCAGTGAGTAAATGTTTAGCATTATATTGAGTGGGATTGGGCTCACCTTCTTGAGCCCTCTCTGAGGTAAGTCCCTAAGGGCAAGGCTTTGTGTTTTCCTACATTGTATCACTGAGCTCAGGAACTAGAACACTACAGGTCCTTGCCGACTGCTGAGCAAATGTCTCACAATCTATTTGAGAATGGGGCTGCATATCACCGGCTGCAGTACAAGGCACTGTGAAGTACAATACTTCTCAAAGTCTGCCTTGAACCACTGCAAGGAAGTATGCAAAAAAAAGTAGAGATTAATCCTGAGGAAGGTGTGCAAGAAGGTCTTCTGGAGAAAACCAGGAGTTTGAAGCTTGAATGGGGTTAAGGACAGGCAAGGGCAAGAGTACAAGATATTTTGGGAAATTAGATGAGAAAGTGTGGTGGGACTTGGGGGAGATAATTCCATCTCTCCACAGGTCTAAAGACATAGAGGCCTCAGGCTTCAACGGGACAGCGGCTTTCATGGAGGTGCGTGTGCAGTCCATTGTTGTTGAGTTCATCCTTACGCACGTGGACCAGCTCTTTGGAGGTGCTGCCCTCTCTGGTCAGTGTCCTTCCTACCCATCACATAGCACCGCTCTGTCTGGGGATTTGTGACGGAATTATAGAAAGCCTCAAAAATCAATCCAGTTTTCTCATATGCATATGGAAAAACTGAGTCTCACACAGTGATATTGGTGATTGTCACAAGGTCCAGATCCTGGAAAGACCATAGTGCAATCAGGACTTGGGCTGGCCTTTTACATTGTCATTCCAGGGCATGGCTTGACCTCTGGATTATTACCTGGCTCCCAAAGCTAGTGATGGCTCATACCCACCACCCACTAGGCCAATGCCCTGGAATCTCCTGGTCTTCTTTGTTCATAAGGACACCCTCTTGAAGACCTGGACATGGAGGGATTATGTCCAGGGACCACTGAATAGATCCCTAGCCTGGTAGCTGATGAGAGGAGATGAAGACCTTGGTACCTGTGGTCCTTCTTGGCTCTGCTTTTGGATGGTCAATTCCTTTACTTTTCCTAGGTGGTGGGGAGATGGACAGTGGATGGCGATCGCTTCCAGGGGCTCGAGTGTCAGGCAGCCCTGAGGACCTCATGCCCAGGTCTCTACCCTACCACCTGCCTAGCATCCTACAGGCTGGTGATGGACCCCCACAGATCCGGCCATACCACACTATCATTGAGATTGCAGAACACAAGTAAGGCCTCCTTCATGGGCCCTCCTCCCCTGCACTGACCACCAGACTCCAACTCCCCATTATTTCTCCATCATCTGCAGGAGGAAAGGGTCTTTGAAGGTCAGGAAGTGGAGATCTATCTTCAATTTGGGTCGCTCTGGCCATGATACAAAGCGTAAACTTCTACGGGGGGCTGAGGATAGGGGTAAGTCTGGGGAGATGGGGGGAGTTTCACTAAGGTTGTTCAAGACTCTGTCTTTTATATACATATCCCTGTCTTTTAGAGGACAAATCCAATAAGGGATCACTGCGGCCAGCCAAGAGCATGGACTCACTGAGTGCTGCAGCTGGGGTTAGTGATGGTGAGTACAGGTGTGCATTCCTGTGTCTGCATGTATGTGTGCTGTGGCAGCAATACCACAGGCCTGTCTGAGTCTATAAATGTGTCCAACTATGTTCAATAATTCCAAAAATAGTTAACAAGTGACTATTATACACTAGCCACCATGACAGATGCCAGCTTTCCAGTGGTGAGCGTATCGACTACACTATGGGTGTGTTCATTACTGTTTGTCTATGAAGAGACCATGTGGGTGGGGGATGTGTGTGTATGGTAGTGGTGGCCAGTGATGGTATCCACAGGGTGACAAGGATAGTCTCTAGGTATACATAGTGGGGTGATCTTTGACTTATTGGTGAGATGGAGGGTTTGTGGTAGTGGTCAGGGGATCTGGGTATCCTGCTTCTGGGGCTCAAGAAAGCAGAGAACATGCTCCAGAGGCTTCCTGAAGTATCCTTAGAGCTGAGGCTATTGACTACCTGGCCCTCTCTTTCCTCCACAGAGCCAGAGGGGCTGGTGGGGCCCAGCAGTCCCCGGCCAAGCCCACTGCTGCCTGAGAGTTTGGAGAATGATTCTATGGAGACAGTAGAGGTTGAACAGGAGTCTGAGGTGGAGACACTGGGTGGCACAAACTCTGAGCCAGGGACACCACGAGCTGGGCGGTCAGCTACCCGGGCTGGGGCTAGCAGCCGTGCAGAGCGCTGTGCTGGAGTCCACATCTCAGACCCCTATAATGTCAACCTCCCTCTACACATAACCTCTATCCTCAACGTGCCTCCAAACATCATCTCTAACGTTTCCTTGGCAAGGCTCACCCGTGGCCTTGAGTGTCCCGCCCTACAGCCCCGGCCAAGCCCTGCCTCTGGTCCTGGCCCTGGCCCTGGCCTTGGCCCTGGCCCCCCAGGTAAGGACCAGACACTGCCCAGGACTGGAAGGGAGACCAGAACTTTAGTCGGGAGTTCTGATGCCGAGAATGTAGCTTGGGAAGGTCAGAAGCCTCAGCCCTTAGGCTTTGGGTGGATCTGGGGACTCTGAGATTCAGGGGCTTCCCTGAATTCAGGGTTGGGAAATCCAGGAATATTATCAGGTTATGTGAAGTCCACAGGCAGGGGATCTCTGCTAGCTTTCATATCACTGCTGTACCTAAGATTAGGGGTCTATGTCAGACACATACAACAGAGATTTACTAAGAACAATGTGAGAATATCTGATAGATGATGGTAATAACATTGTAACAGTAATACTCATAGCTCATTAATGTGCCATTATGTGTTAGGCACTCTGCAGGCATTAGCTCATTTTGTGTTCTCAGAATCTTATGAGATAGTTATTGTTGTTATCCTTATATTAGAGCAGTGGCCCCTGAAACTTAGGTGAAGCAATTTGCTATTTATTCAGGTGGAAGAGGCAGAGCTAAGATCTAATTCTTGCTCTGACTCCTGTTCTTAAAGTGTCACTGATGAGAAGTCCTGAGGCAGGATAGGATAGAGGATGAGGACATGGCAATTGGACTATGTAAACTTGGGTTCAAGTGTTGGCTAAGCCATTTATTAGCCATGTGGCCTTGGAAAAATTGCTTAAACATATGAGCCTCAGTGTCAATATATGTAAAATGGTGATAATTCCTACATAATCGTTTATCTTGCAGAGAAAATAAGACAATGCATTGTAAAATGGAAAGCACAATGGCACCTGGGAGGTGCTCAATAAAAGTAGTTATAAGCCCATGGTCAGGGATATTGGTCTAGGAGGATGAGCCATGTGGGGGCTATGTTGCGAGTGTTGGGTCCCTATCATATCCACGCTAGGAAGATACACAGTGGTCAGGGTCAGGGCTGGCTTTGACTTTTGTATCCCTGAGACTACCTCTCCTTCAACAGATGAGAAGTTGGAGGAAAGACCAGTCCCAGGTCCCCTGGCTGACTCAGGCCCAGCTGACATAATTCCTGCCCTGGAGGACTCCCTGTCCCAGGAGGTGCAGGATACCTTCTCCTTCCTAGAGGACTCCAGCAGCTCAGAACCTGAGTGGGTGGGGGTGGAGGATGGGGAGGTGGCCAAGGCAGGAGCAGCAGGAGCAGCCTTCTCCCCTGGGGAGGATGACCCTGGGATGGGCTACCTGGAAGAGCTCCTGGGAGTTGGGCCTCAGGTAAGGAGGAGCTGTGCTGGGTTTGGGGTTATATGGGGTTCAAAGGGTGGACAGGGCTACCTGGGGTCCTAAGCCACAGTGATATGCCTACAGGTGGAGGAGTTCTCTGTGGAGCCACCCCTGGATGACCTGTCTCTGGATGAGGCACAATACGTCCTGGCTCCCAGCTGCTGTTCCCTGGACTCTAATGGCCCCAGGCCTGAAGTAGAGGAGGAAAATGGAGAAGAAGTCTTCTTGAGTGCTTATGATGACCTAAGTCCCCTTCTGGAGCCTAAACCTCTGACCTGGGAGGGCACAGGGAGTCTGGAGGAAGAGGCAGCAGGGTGTGGAAGACAAGCTCCAGGACAGGCTGAAGAAGACCAGGCATGCTGGAAAGCTGGGGAGGACAAAGAGGCTAGGCCAGGAAGCAGATTAGACAACAAGGAAGAGACTGATGGGAGTCCAGAGACCAAGATGGAGAACGGCAAAGCTAGTGAGGAAGAAGAAGAGGCTGGAGGAAGGCAAGAGATGATGACTAATTTGGATGAAGGGATTGGGGAAGAGACAGAGGCCAAGGGAGAGAAGTCTAAAAGTCAGGAGGTTGAAAGTATAGAGGAGGCCAAGGGTGTGCAGGAACCAAGAGAACAGGATAAAGACAAGGAGAAGGAAAGAGAGATTGAGAGAGAAGAGGCTAAGCAAGAAGGACAGGAATCTCCAGTAGAAGTTGAAAGGGACCCACAGCATGGGGCCCAGGAACACCTGGTTGCTGAGGAGACCTGGGAAGGTGAACACAAACAACAGCCTCAGGGAGGCAGAAAGGATGAGATCAAAGGACAGAGTGGGAATGGGGACCACAAGGCAAGAAAAGACCAAGGTCATGGTGAAGACTGCAGAAACCCAGAAAAATCAGCTGAAGGAGTAGAAGGAGAGATCAGTCAGGAACAAGAGAGTGAGGATGGAGAAGCTGAAGGAGACCAGAGGGCTGGAGAGAACCATTTAGAAGAGAGAGCCCTCTCTGAAGGGCCCAGTGTAGAGTCCCTGGAGGTTGACAGTACCAAGGAGGTCAATGAACAGTCTTCTGAGATGGAACAGGCAGCCTCCCAGCTACACCAGCCAGAAGGGGTAGAGCCTGAAGGACAGCCCGGTCCTGAGAGCTGTGATCTATGCCCCTGTCCCTTTGGCTCAGCTGGTGGTGTGGGCATGCGCCTGGCTTCCACCCTGGTTCAGGTCCAACAGGCCCGCTCTGTACCAATAGTCCCCCCCAAACCACAATTTGCCAAGATGCCCAGTGCAATGTGTAGCAAAATCCACGTGGCACCTGCAAACCCATGTCCAAGGCCTGGTCGGCTTGATGGGACTCCTGGGGAAAGGGCTTGGGGTTCTCGAGCTTCCCGATCCTCTTGGAGGAATGGGGGCAGTCTTTCCTTTGATGCTGCTGTGGCCCTGGCTCGAGAACGCCAAAGGACTGAGGCTCAGGGAGTTCGGCGGACCCAGACCTGTACTGGGGGTGTAGATTATAGCCCCAAAACCTCTCCCTGTAGCATGATCCCTTCCCTTTCTCCTCGGCCCCTTAGCTGTCTGGAACTTCCACCTGAAGGCACAGAAGAGTCTGCCTCCCGGAGTCGGCTTAGTCTACCCCCTAGAGAGCCCCAGCTGCCTGTGCACCTCCTGTCCCCCCAGCGCCGATCATATGCATTTGAAACACAGGCTAACCCTGGGAAAGGTGAGGGGCTGTGATTAGGACCAGAGTTCTGGGCAAAAGGGATCAGTAAGTTATCTTGAATCTCTGAAGTCCCAGACTCTCTTTTGCAATCTGAGCAGCTGTAGTGCCCCACTCCATAGGCTTTAGCCTTCCGGCTACTCTTTTTGACTGTGGGAAGCACTGCCTTGGTGAGTGTATCTGGGCTTGTCTCAGACACAAAGCACTTATCTCTTAGGAGATTACACAAGAAAGTTAGCAAGTTCTTGTTCCCATGAAGTGTGGTCATTGACCAAAGGGAACATTGGGTAGGCAAAAAAAAAAGAGGTTTCTCAAAGTGAAGAATGGAGGGGGAATTCCAGCCAAAATCCTACCCTCCACTGAGGCTGTGAACTTCTCTTCATGAAAGTTCAGGGTAGAAGTGGGGGAACACAGGACCTGATCAGAACCTTCCATACACAAAACACTTCAAGAATTGCCCACTCCTGTTCTGTTCCTAATCTCATTGGATAACTCATCACCCTCCAGATGAGGAGAAACACGTCCAAGAAGCTCTCTGAAGGCCTCAGTGTTTCTTGGGAGGGACTGTACCCCACCTTCAGCTTCCAATCACCTTGAAGAAGAGAGGTCTATACAGATCTCTCTGACTTTTCTTTTTGCCTTTGGAATAACTTCCTCCCATTTTAGGAAAGGGGAACGACCTCACTCAAGCCCTGGCACTGCTTCTCCATACAGGCCCATACAGGTCACAGGTCCCACTCTAGTAAGGGGGGATGTTTCTGAATAAAAGTTGTATTTTTACATGTAACTAGTGTGGGGGACTCATTATTATTTAAATCTTGGGTGATAGGTATTGTATTTTTATGTATTTGAACAAATGTCTTTTTTTCTTCTTGTTTGTGTGCGCTTCCTCAGTTGTTGTCATGGAGACCTGTGGCTAGAAACTAGAGCTGGGTTCATGGCGGTCAGGAAATGGGGAAGAGAAACTTTTATTTACATAATGCTCACTTGATGCCAGGAACTGGGCTAGGTTTTTGTGTGCATAAAAAACCTACCCTTGATTTTAATCAAGGTTATTTAATTCATATAACCATTCTGTAACTTTAGAACTGATATCTCCACTTCACAGATGAGAAAACTAAGGCTCAATAAAGTCAAAATGCTCACCAAAGATCTGAGGTTGAACTCAGGGCCTACACCCTGATCCACTCCACCAGCCCTTTTTTGTGATGGGCTTTTTGGGATAGGGTCTTGAGAACTATTTGCCCAGGCTGGCTTCCAACCACAATCCTCCTGATCTCTGCCTCCTGAGTAGCTGGGATTACAAGGGTGAGTCACGGATGCCAGGCTTCAGAGGTGGGTTTTAAACCATGGTTTGAATGGCCCCGAGTCTGAATTGTTATAATACCACCTGACTCCCAAATACATTGAGCATACCCTGAATGAGAACAGGAATCAAGATTCTTCTCACAGAAAGTGTAAGCCTCAAAACTGGAAGCTCTGGGGTCTGAGCCAGTAATTACTGATGCTAATACAAAGGAATATACCCAGATGTACGTATGCCCGGATATATCCCAATCTCCACTTGGAAACTCTTCAAAAAGATGCCCTGATTCAAGATGGCTTCCAAAGAGCCCTTGTTAAAGATGGCGCTCATGCCTGCTGTTATTCCCCTGATCTCAGCTGGCCAATTCCCTTTTTGTGTAACTAAAAAGGTCAGGCCTAGCGCAAGATGGAATGAATCAGTTGTCTCCAGTTCTTGCGGAAAGTGGTTAGGACCTGAGCAACACCCTCCAGACTACTGCTTGTTTTCCGCCCCAGTAGGAATCCGTACACCTACGCATGCATCCTTCAGCCTTTATCAAGATGGGGCGAACGGAAGTGGGGCGGCTCAGAGGCTGGGTGGGCGGGGCAGATAGAAGAGACACTTCCGCCCCTCACCAACATGGCCGCAGCCTGGGAGTGCGCATGAGCAGCTGTCTATGGCGCTATCCCGCTCCGAAGAGGGAGAACGCTGTCGGGGAAAATCGGCAGCTGAAGCGGCCTTGGCCCGGTGAGTGTAGGATCCGGCAGGAGTGTGAACACAAGGTGGGCAGGCAAGGCGGGGCAGCTTTGGTTTTGTTTCAGTTTTTCAGGTTAGGGAACTCTTGGATAGGAAGCCTTTGTTTTGGGGGTGGGGGCCGTGCCTGGTTCTTTATCTCCCACCCGGCTTTGTGGGCCGAACTCGCTCTCCGTGCCGGAGCGCTCGCGTCCCCGCCCTCCTGTGCTGGTCTGCAGCGGGCCGAGGTTGCGGGCACGGAGGCCCCCGAGCCCCAGGCGTCCTTTCCTGCTTCCTTCGCGGAGCAGCTGGGGCGCCGGGGCGAGCGCAGCGGGGCTGACAGGGTCACGGCGCGGGCTCCCGGGCTGGCGTCTGGCGGGTGCCCAGCTCTGTAAGCGCCTGCTGGTTGGTGGGCCTGCAGAAATACGCATCGTTCTCAGGCAAGATCTAGGTGTCTGAATTCCTTTGGCACTAGATTCCCCCCCCCTTTGTGTCCAGACTTAGCAAGGGCGCTTGCTGGGCCGTCTTTGCTTGAGCGTGTAAACCACAACATCCAATCCTGATTTCCGTGTCTCATATTCTTAAATGCTCAGGAAATGCTTCCGGATGTCCAACTAAGATTTGAGTAAATAGTCTGACCCCGTTGCTGGATGTCCTCGAGGCTGTCTCCGGCTGACAGCTGTGGGCTATAGAGCTGCCTCTGCTGCGTCTTGCCCTGTCTTTCATTGCCTCCTCCTGCTGGCAGCGCAGCAAGCCGTGGAGAGGCACTTCCTCTTTAGGTTTAGGATGGAAACCTAGGTGGTCCCAAAACACTGGTGCTACTTCCTCCTGGGGACTGGGATCTCCCTGCAGCGTTACTTCCTACGGATAGTTTCACTTTCAGTTCCTTTTTGTTGTTGTTGTTACCATTTTACTTGGTCACGGGCTTTCCAAGGCTTATCTGCTAAAGATTTTCCTTAGCTAGGAAAGGTTTGTGTGTGGAGAATTTACAAAATGATTGTCCCTTGCGGTGTTGGGATTATTTTACTGCTTTGTACTGTGTACTTGCTTCTTTCTGGAGGCATCTGTCTGCTCAGCCCTTTGTTTTTCCTGTTCTCTGGCTGGGTGTCAGGGTCCCAAGGCAGGCACCTTGTAGATAGATTACTCCCTCCTTGTATTTTCTCCTTTGGAACCCTGAGCCTAAAATTTTTTTCCTTCCTCCTGAGGCTCAGTTGATTTGGAGTTGTCATGGCAACATTTTTAGCAACTATGTTGCTCTATAGGAAAGCTTGATGAATAAAATAAAGAGGGCTTGAATATGATGCTCTTTGGCTTTAGGGGTCTCTTAACAGAGACTTATAAATATGGATACCTCAAACAAGAGCCCTTGGTGCCCAAGGGCCAAGTCAAGGTTTTGGGGTTTGGAATGGTGTTCTATTGGCGATGGGCTTCAGGTTTTCCCTTCCTAGATTTGAGAACAGAAATTTCTTGTGTCTGTGTTTGAGAAGTTGGAAGAAGCATTAGTGTCGGGCTGGTGGAGTGGTTCAAATAGTGGATCACCTGCCTAGCAAGTGTGAGGCCCTAAGTTCAAACTCCAGTGTCAAAGACAGAAAAAAACAAAACAAAACCCTGTCAAAGACAGAAAAACCAGAAAATGCTTTAAAGCTAGGCCCTGGTGGCTCACACCTGTAATCCTAGCTACTCAGGAGGCAGAGATGCCAGCCCCAGGCAAATAGTTCACCAGATCATATCTGGAAAAATCCCAACACAAAAAGGTCTGGCTCAAGTGATAAGAATGCCTGCTTAGCAAACAGAAGGCCCTGAGGTCAAATCCCAATTCCACCAAAAAAACCATAAATTAATTAAAAAAAAAGTATCCATGACCCTGTGTTTTATTGCTAGTGGTGGTCTAAACATGACCCTTCCTTATCCCCATGAAGCTGCTGTCATGGCAGATCATAATAGCTTTATCAGTAATCCATAATAGCTGTAATAATAATTCATCCAAAAATATGTTGTTTCTCGGATTTCTAGTATAATTATCCCTCGTGCACCAGCAGTTGGAGTGATAATGGAGGGGCAAAGAACTATTTGTAGAGGTGTTTTTTCAGTCATTGTAGGCCAGTCCTCAGCATCAGGATGGGGGAAGCTGATTGTCCCCTCTAGATGACTGGGTTACTTTCCTGACTATGTCTTCATGGAGCCAGGTTCTAGAACCAGGGAAACTGTCCAGTTCCCTAGACTCACTGCAAACTCCTTGGTTTCTACAAGGACCTAGCTCTCAGGTCTGTGAGTCAGGAGATACGAAGACCTCCACAAAAGGACCAGTTCCTCGGATGTGCCCCCTCACAGAGAGATGAAGGGGTGAGTGAAGCAGGGGTAGGGTCTGGGGTGAAGAGGAGGGGAGGCTTGGGAGAATGCAAAATGATTAAGAGTGCTGGTTCTGGAATCAGGCTGACCTGAATTCCAAGTTCCAGCTCCATCACTTACCAGCTGTGTAAGTGATCTATAAAATGGAAATAGTGCTACCTACCTGTTATTAGTATTAAATAAGATATTGCATATTAAGTGCATATAGCTTAGTGCTTAGGTACATGATGAACACTCAGTAAATATTAGTTGTTGTTATTCTAACCTAACTCAACATCTGCTGGGAATGGCAACGAGTTTGGGAACTATATGTTACTACTGTCCAGTTGAGCTTCTCATTTACATCTTCCTATATTCTTCCTTTTCACCTTTTGCCACATACAGGCAGCAGAAATCAGCTGAAACGGAAGAGGGGACAGTGCAGATTCAGGAAGGTGAGTGTTAAAACCAGGACCAAGATCAAAAACCCCTGAAGGACTCCCTCCTTGACTGGTTCATCTCCTGTGCACCATACTTCTTATAAATAATGTGCATGTGAGCAGAGGAAGAAAGGCACTTAAGTCACAGACCTTTCCTTGGTTCTTTTAAGGTGCAGTGGCTACTGGGGAGGACCCAACCAGTGTGGCTATTGCCAGCATCCAGTCAGCTGCCACCTTCCCTGACCCCAACGTCAAGTACGTCTTCCGAACTGAGAATGGGGGCCAGGTAAGGGAGGGGGCCAGGTGGCTGCAGGTGTTACCTGGGGTTGGGATTGAGGGAGGTAATGGAACATGTCTTGGGCGACCTGGCCTGGAGGATGAAGTGAAAATGGGGACTGTTGGGGCGGGGTGGGGGGCTAATAGAAGAGATTGGTGTGGGATGGGGTATGCTGAAACCTCAGTATGGGGAAAGAAGGGAGAATGGCTGGCTCTGTGTCTGAAGGACTCTTGTTTTGGGACCCAATTCAAGGGAAGCTTTATAAGGGGCCCTAGGATTCCCAGCACTTAATCCTTTTCTTCTGTCTTTCCCTTCCCATCCCTCCCCATTCCTCTCTGCTTCTAGGTGATGTACAGGGTGATCCAGGTGTCTGAGGGGCAACTGGATGGCCAGAGTGAGGGCACTGGCGCCATCAGTGGCTATCCTGCCACTCAATCCATGACTCAGGTACAAGGGTATGGGCTGAGGAGGGGACTAGATAGAGTTCTGAGCAATAAGAGGAAGAGGGGAACCAATAGGATGGGGGTGAGACTAGGAGCAATAATCTCAGGCAACATCTCAGGTTGCCTTGACCCAAGGCATTAGGCTTTCTCTTTCTACATGTTTCTTCTTCCCTTAAAGCTGCAGAGTGCTACAGTGGGGAGAAGTATCTGAGTCTGTTTTCTTGTTCCCTTTCCTAGGCAGTGATTCAGGGTGCTTTCACCAGTGATGATGCAGTTGACACAGAGGGAACAGCTGCTGAGACACACTATACCTACTTCCCCAGCACTGCAGTGGGAGATGGGGCAGGGGGCACCACATCAGGGAGTACAGCTGCTGTCGTTACCACCCAGGGCTCAGAGGCACTACTGGGGCAGGCAACTCCTCCCAGCACTGGTGAGATATTGCATGAGGATGCTAGCTGGAGGGGCTAGGCTGTGGGACATGGCTGGGGGCAGTGGGCCTTAGTTCATGACCTTTAGTGATTCCTAAGATCTGGGGACACAGTGAGTCTGGGGCTGCCCTACTAGTAGAAGAGAGCGTGTTCTTTTCAGAGAAGGGTCCCAGGACCTTGGCAAGGTTCCTAGTCCCCAGTCCTGATAGAATCCACCCCACATCTTCACAGGTCAATTCTTTGTGATGATGTCACCACAAGAAGTATTGCAGGGAGGGAGCCAGCGCTCAATTGCCCCCAGGACCCACCCTTATTCCCCGTGAGTGACCCTTGTTTCTTCTCAGTTATCATGAGCGATCTTAATACTTGCTACATCTTATGTAATTCCTCACCCTAAACTCTTATTATTATTATTTTTTTTCTCCTTCTGTCACTCTGGGCACCCTGGGTGCTGTTATTAGGAAGTCAGAGGCTCCCCGGACAACTCGGGATGAGAAACGCAGGGCTCAGCATAATGAAGGTAGGTGCCATTCAGGTGTGAAGCCAGGAGCTAGTAGTAGGATTGAGGATAGTAATAGTGTGTGAGGGAAGAAGGGCTAGTCATTTTACCCTGGGGCCAGTGGTGAGTTTTCACCAAGTCACCTGTCCTCCACTTTGCCCCACAGTGGAGCGCCGCCGCAGAGACAAGATCAACAACTGGATCGTGCAACTGTCCAAGATCATCCCAGACTGCTCTATGGAGAGCACCAAGTCAGGCCAGGTCACAGAAAGACCCTGGTGGTGGGAAGGAAGCCTGATTTCTGTCTCCTGGTGTTGTTTCCAGAAATGGTAGAGAGTGGAGCACATGGCAGTAGTCTTTGCACATCTCTGAGGTTACTGTATCCTTGGGAGATGCTATATCACCATCCAGAGGGGAAAATGAGGTCCACAGTGTGAATGTGTTTGTAGAAAGCAAGCTGGCTGTCTTAAATCATAGTCCTCTTTTTGCTGACTTTGTCTTGCAGAGTAAAGGTGGAATTCTATCCAAAGCCTGTGATTATATCCAGGAGCTTCGGCAGAGTAACCACCGTTTGTCTGAAGAACTGCAGGGGCTAGACCAACTGCAGCTGGACAATGATGTCCTTCGGCAACAGGTCAGACTCCTAACCCAGTACAGGCCCCTTGACAACCCGGTAGCCACTGACCCAGTTTGGTACTCCTTAGAGAGCACTTCATATTTTCCTCCTTACCAGTGGATGTGTGACTAAGTTCAGGGGCTTGGCAGTGCCAACTTTTCTACTCATTTGTCTTACTGCTTCCTTCCCATGTCAGGTGGAAGATCTTAAAAACAAGAATCTGCTGCTACGAGCTCAGTTGCGGCACCACGGATTAGAGGTCGTCATCAAGAATGACAGCAACTAACTGAGGATTCAGGGATGTTGGGCCTGAGAACTGCAGATAACCCAGGAGCAACAGCACATCTTTCCTTCACTGCCCACTCTGGCTTAGGACTGAGGGGAGTTAGGAATGCCTGTCTTTGAACTGAGGCCCTGTGGTGTGGCAGCCTGCAGTGGTGTGAAACACACAGTGTGGACATGCACTGACAGCCCTGCCCACCCCCCACCTTGCAGCCCTTGGGCTCTTGTGCTCCTCTTGCACAATGCATGTGCTGACTCCATGATGGATACTGGACACACTAAACTGGGGGGCCTGCCCTGTGCTTGCTTAGAGTGCCCGGCAGAGGGATCTGCTGACAGGTGGTACTCTGGCTTGCTCTAGGACTCTGGGTCTGTCATTGGTTCTTCCTTCCTCTGGAGCTGAGGTTCAGATGTGCACTGACCACTCTGGAAAGCAGGTTTAATCAAGAAGTGGGGTAGGATGCTTAGCAGTAGCTGCTATCCCACGAAGAGGAGTCAGGTCAGCAAGCAGCTGAGGCCTATGCAGAAGTCTCTGAAGCCAGGGAGAACAATAGGCAGGGGCCCACTTGGGGCCTTTCCCCTTATGGGGGGGGGGTTCTTTTTTTCTTTCTTTTCTTTTACTTTTTTTTTTTTTTAAAGATAAAATTGTTCAGAGCCACAGTTGTCTATTTTTATTACTTTTGTGAGCTCCCTGGCAGAAGGGAGAGGGCACATTACCCTTTGACCAAGAAGGGCTGGGCCAGCATTAGGGTGGGGTGCTGCTCTTATACTCATTACCTGTAGTCCTGATACCTGTGCTAAACCTGGGTGTTGTTTCCGGCCTATCCTGGGCAATCACAAGGGTTTCTTCTGTGGGCTGGTGTTGGAAGCACCACCAACAGGTGCTGTGGGGGCTGTGCGGAGGCGGGGCCTTCGCTTCCGGTTCCGGTTGCGGCTCAGGGAGGGAGGGCGAGATGCTGCAGACGCGGATGGGGCGAGTTGGGGCTGCATTCCTGCGACTCAAAATCGCTGCGCGAACCATGACTGGAGGTATCTGAGAGCGAGACCTGGGATGCAGTCTGGCTGGTCCACAAGTGGCTGGGTTGGGGTGGAGACCCCCTGGGTGGAAGGAGGAGCGGAGGGGCGTGGCTGAGGCCCTCCTGCGCCGTCCCACCGGCTTAGATCGCTGCCAGGTGAGGGGGGTCAGGGGTAGCAGTGTTTCGTAGTCCCCCTCCTCTAAGGCTGTCATGCCCTTTTCCTCAGCTCCCACCATCTTGCTCCCTGAACTCCGCTCGCTCCTAGCCTCGGGTCGGGTCCGTCTCTTCGATGTGCGATCTCGCGAGGAGGCGGCAGCTGGGACCATCCCTGGGGCGCTCAACATCCCTGGTACGGGATTGAGAGGGGTGTCCCCGTGTGGAGTAGAGACAATGCCCGATGATCTTAGCTAATACGACCTCCTTTGGGGTGGCTGGGGGAAGGCACTGGTTACGGGGGGAGGGGGGGTCGGGGGTAGCTCTACATTCCTTCAAGCCACTGTTCAGCTTCCCTAGAGAAGGAAGGGCTGACCGGAGGCGGATCCTGGCAATGGAACTGGCCTATCCAGTTTGAGGGGACAACAGGCTGTGAGGAGAGGGGCAGACCAGCTTCTTTATACTTGACCTCCCTGAGGGTAGATGCCCAAGTCCACCTGCTCCTTCCTCTGCAGCTTCCTTGGGACTCGGGAAGTGGCTTGCATTGTTTGGCTGACTTCCAGCACGAGGAGGCCGCTTGTTCTTGAGGTTGGATGGGGGTGGGAGGTCCTCCTCCCGCCCTGGAGATTTGGTGCACTACCAGGAGGACGTAGCTCTTCCAATTTTTGAACCTCAGAGCACTCCGGCTAGCTCACCATTTTATCCTCTCCCAGTGTCTGAGTTGGAAAGTGCCCTGAAGATGGACCCAGATGCTTTCCAAACTTTGTACTCTGCTGAGAAGCCAAAGCTGGAAGATGAGAATCTTGTTTTCTTCTGTCAGCTGGGCAAGAGGGGCTTCCAGGCCACGCAGCTGGCCCTGGGCCTTGGATACACAGGGTACGGGCAAGGTGTGACTTACTAGCTGGGACCGGATTGGGGACTGCCTACTGGACGTGCCCTTTCCTCACCGCTCTTTTTCTCCACAGAGCTCGAAACTACGCTGGGGCCTATAAAGAATGGTTGGAGAAAGAGGGTTAGATAGAAAGTGACTTGAATGCCTGGGTCCCTCATGTCCACCTTAACTAAGAATGATGAAGGGGTTGACTTGCTGGATAACTCCTTATAGCATTTTGCACACAAAAGCATCCAATAAAGAGCGTTTAATCAAAGTATTGGAAGCACTTGATTTGTCAGGCGTACCAAAAGTGGTTCTGATGTTAATCTAGACCTCAGTTCAGCCCTGGATCATTTATCCTTCCAGCAGTCATCCCCCCTGCCCTCTGATTCTAGCAGTTTCCTTAGAAACCACAATTGTCATTCTACAACAATTGTTTTTGGCACAGGATGCATATCAGAATCATGTAGTAGCTCATAAAAAGTTTGGGCCTGGGGATGGGAGCCTATGCCTATAGTCCCAGCTATGTGGAAGGCTGGTGCAGCCTTATGTCTCGAGCTCAGGATTTTGCGGTCTACCTGATCAACACAATGAGACCCATCTCAAAAAACAATCATGACAGGCACCGGTGGCTCGTGCCTGTAATCCTAGCTACTCAGGAAGCAGAGATCAGGAGGATCCAGGTTCAAGGCCAGCCCTGGTAAGTAGTTCAAGAGACTCTATCTAAAAAATACACAGCACAGAAAAAGGGCTGGGAAGTGTCTCAAGGGTAGAATGCCTATCTAGCAAGCCTGAGATCCTGAGTTCAAACTCCAGTACTGCCAGGTGGAGCCTGGGGTCCATGCTGTCCTGATCACTCCTTTATATAGTGTCATGTCTACTTTTGTGCAAAAAGGGTAGAAAATTTGGGATAGTGACTACGTGTCCTTCAAAGCCTAAAATTTCTACTAACTGTCCCTTTCAGAAAAAGTTTACCTAGCTTTGCTCTAGACCTACATCTCAACCCTAACCTCAAAACAAAAACAATAGCTGGGCGCCAGTGGCTCAAGACTGTAATCCTAGCCACTCAGGAGGCAGTGATCAAGAGGACGGTGACTTGAGGCCAGTCTGGTCAAAAAAAAACCCACCACAAAAAAGGCCAGGTGGAGTGGCTCAAGGTGTAGGCCCTGAGTTCAAACCCCAGTACCAAAAAAAATACCCTAAAACAAAACAACAAACTGGGTATGGTGGTACATACCTTTAATCCCAACTTCTTGGGATATAGAGGTAGTAGGATCATGGTCCAAGGCCAGTTTGGGCAGAACTGAGAGACCCTATTTGAAAAACTAAAAGCAAAAAGGGCAGGGGGCATGTCTCAGTGGTAGAGCTATTGCCTAGCAAGCTTGAGGCCCTGAGTTTGAACTCCAGTACCACCAAACAAACAAAAGCATTTAAGACACATGTGCCACACACCTCTAATCCCAGCTACTCAGGAGGCTGAGGCAGGAAGATCGAAAATTTGAGGCCAAAGCAACATAGTGAAACCCCATCTTTTTATAATACATAAATTAATTTTAAAAGAACATTTTACTGAAACTAAGGAAAACACTTTGCAGTAGGCATATAACTTGCCTCTAGCATGATGCTAGAGGTGTATACCCTTTGAGGCATTTTAAATTAAAATGTGTATATATATTGTGTGTGTATATATATATATATATACACATTTTTTTTGCAGTACCGGGACTTGAACTCAGGGCCTTCACCTTGAGTCACTCCATCAGCCCCATTTTTGTGAAGGGTTTTTCGAGATAGGGTCTCATGGAACTATTTGCCAGAGCTGGCTTTGAACTGTGATCCTACTGATCACTGCCTCCTGAAAAGCTAGGATTACAGGTGACTTCCGTTTTTTTTTTTTTTTTTTTTACCTTTGGCGGTACTGGGGTTTGAACTGAGTTATACTTGTCAGGCAGGTGCTCTACCACTTGAGCCACTCCACCAGCCCAAGTTTTCACTTCTTAAATTTAATTTTTTTAAAATTTTATTCCTGCTGGGCAGCATACCTCAAAGTAATCCCAGAACTTTGGAGCTGAAGCAGGGGATTGTGAGTTCAAGGCCAGCCAATGCTACATAAAGAGATCATCTCAAAAAAACAAGTTTTTTTTAATTCCTTTATCCGTCAAAGAGAAGGTTGCGTCAGATATGGATGCAATTTTCTGATGTTCCAAATTTCTGAAGAACTTCTTTCAGACCTTTCCTGCATTCCTGGCTTTTTTCTCTTTTTCCTCCTTTTCCCTCTACCTTCTGGACTGCAGCCAGCCCCCCGACATCTTTTTTCTCACAGTCTACCCTTTATAAACTCTCCCAATCTCCTGTGCTCTTCAGCTTTTCCATCATATCACAGAGCTATACCACTTCCTCCCTGGGCTAATGAGTTGAGCCAGACATTTTTGGGTCTGGGGATAAAGCTGAAATATGTGAGGACATGGTCCAGGGCCTGGCAAAGAGTATAGGTGTCAGTTCCTTTTCCCCAAATAACCAAATCCCTTTGGGTCTCAGATGCTTCTTTGGGGGTCTAATTTGGTACTGGGGTTTGAACTCAGAGTCTATACCTTGAGCCACTCCACCAGTGCTTTTTTTGTGATGGGTTTTGTCCAGACAGGGTCTCTCAAACTTTTGCCCAGGCTAGCTTCGAATTGTGATCCTCCTGATCTCTGCCTCCTGAGTAGCTAGGATTATAGGAGTAAGCCACCAGCCAGCACCCGGCTCTCTCTTAATTTTAAGTCTTAAATGTTCTAGTTCTTCTTCTTTTTTTTTTTTTTCCACTCCCTTGGTCTTCATCATAGATTAGAACATTTCTTTATGATTACTAGTACATAATTTGTCTGCAATAAAAATACAGTTCTTAAGTGTTTGTTTTTGTTTATTTGTTTTTCTGTCTTGCTGTGTTGTCCAGATTGGCCTCCACTTTGTGATCCTCCTGCCTTAGCTTCTCAAAAGTGCTGGGATTGGGCTGGCAGAGTGGTTCAGGTGATAGCCTAGCAAGCGTGAGGCTCTGAATTGAAACCTCAAGTACTGCTTAAAAAAAAAAGAGTGCTGAGTGCAGGTGTGCACCACCACGCCTGACTTTGGTTCACCAAGTTTTGAGTATTTGCACTTACAGTCACATTCCTAAATAAGACCTAGAACACTGAAAATATCAAGGATTTTTCTTTTCTTTTTATTCATCATTAAGTGAATATTTATTTTTCAGGTTAAAGAGGTTTAAAAATACATATGCACAAGATAAATAAACTACACTCAAAAGAATTCAAACACCAGTACTGCTCCCCCCCAAAAAAATCATTGAAGAGTAGAATACATAAATATATAGCGTTTTTCACAGGATACAAAAATTATAATTACATCAAATACAAAGAAAAGAGATTGAAGTTGTGACTCAGTCTCAAGCCCTGGGTTCAAACCCCAGTCCCACAAAAACAACTAACAAACAAAAATCCAAAGGAAAACATTTGCTAAAGTTAAGCAAATGAAACCACCTTGTCAAAAAATATAAACTGAGATGAATCAGGACGAAATCCCTGAACGTGAGGGCGAAGTTGCTTTTCTCTGTTTCCTAGCTAGACTTCCTTTTCTGTACTGAGTTGTGTACGTCGAGTCACTGACCTCTGGTAAATTGTCAAGCACCCGTTCCTCATTGGCCCTCTGTTTCTGCCTGGCACACTTCTCTGTCTACTGTCTGGCTTCTTGAGGAAGACTGGTTTAGTGGTCATGATCAGGATCGTCGGGGTTGGGTTCTCACGAGTGGCTGAATAGAGGTCAACACAGTAGTGATGTGAAGGGATGCTCTCTAGGCCCCTTTTGGTGGCAATTTGAGAGCATCTAGTCAAATCCTCCCAGCAGAATCAATGTTTGGATGACAGGTTAGAGCCAGAAGTCTGGTCTTTGGAGGTTCAAATGGATACCTGTCAGGAATGATAACTTCCAGCTTGAAAACCCCTGTCTCCACCTAATATTGGATCTCAAAGATCATTCATTTGGTCCTTTTTCAGCCACCATGTGATGCCGGGGTGGCTCTGTGGCTAATGTGCAGTTCTCTCTTCAGAAGTGATGCTCTCTGCATGACCTCCAAGTAGAAGGAACCAGTTTACTGTTCCACACCAAGGGCTGCTCAATCTCACCTTACCACAATGCATGTAATCCACTCTGTCTTGGTCTCTCTCTTTGAGACAGGATCTCACTATGTAGGCCAGGCTGGCCTTGCACTCCACCTGTCTCATCCTTCTGAGTGCTGGGATTATAGACATGAACCACTATACCTGGCTTCTACATCCACTTTCTTCTATCACCATAAATTAGTTTTCTAGCTCCCTTCCTGGCTTGCTAACGTCTTTTTCTTCCTTCACCTTTAGAGCTGAGGTTAGAGAAAATCCTAGAGTGAACTGACCTGGGTTGCTACATAACCATGACCTTTGGTTTGATAATTGCTGAGAGAACATTCCTCTTTCTCCCTCATTAACTGTTTGGTTCATAACCCTTATAGGCTGTTCCAATCCATTACCTTGCCCTTTTAAAGTTCTCTTTCCCTTTCCTCATAGCTGGCTAGTTTGGCAGGTGTGGCTTTGCCAGCTCTATGGACTTCCCTTGCCTTCTGCCTTCCTTTCCATACTGACTAGAACTCCCTGCTTTCATCCTACTTTATCTATCCCAGGTTTGTGTTTACCATATGCCTGTGTCATCATGTTTGTTACACTATATTTTTGTTGTTCATTTCTCTGTCTTTTGAGTGCCTTTAAGGCAGACTCTAGCTTTCATTTTCTTGCCTCCAGAGTCTTGAACATGAGTTCTTGGGAAGGTTTCTGTTGACCCTCACTAGCCTTCTGACCTTCAGAATCTTCTTTTTTTTTTTTGGCAGTACTGGGGTTTGAACTCCATGCCTCATGCTTGGTAGGCAGGTGCTCTACCACTTGAGCCATTCTGCCAGTTGTTTAGTAGTTTTGTGTTGCATATTTTGTATAAGGTCTCTGTTTGCATTCGAACCTTGAGGCTTCAAACCCCAACCTCCTGATCTCTGCCTCCTGAATAGCTAGGATTACAGGCGTGAGTCACTAGTGCCCGGTCCAGAATCTTCTAATTTCAGCCTTTCGGAAGCATCACTGCCTGTCCAATCTTAAAATAATATTTTTATCTTATCGGTCAGAGTTGATAATTTACAATAGGTCCTTGTTGCCTGGTGACTAGAGCACATGCCTGGCCGGCTATTTGAGCAATCTGTGGTC